GACTGGACCTATTTTGAATTAGAATATTAATAATGTTTATGGTGGCAATTCCTTTGTTGGAAAAATTAAGTTAAGCGAACAGGAAGGTTTCTTGAGAAGTGTTCTCTCTCAGGAAACTCGGCAATTTAAAATGCTTGTGATTAGCAACATTCCTAATCACATAACCCAGCTTGGGGTTTTTTTCCGAAAAATCAAATTATTGACTTTCTTATGCTTTTCAAATAGATCATTTAAAACTTTCAAAGGTAAAGAGAAAGTTTGGTGCTATATTTTTCTATTATTGCAATTTTTCTTTATTTTTTAAAAACTTCTTTTTATTATTCTTTTTTTTTTATAATTTCTTTTGGCACTTATTTGTATCATATTTTTAGAGATGGTGAGAAAGATTTTGGCGTCAATCTATGAGAGAGAGGGGAAAATGGCAGGAGGAAGATTAAGACAAGAACGTTTTTAAAACTAGAGGGGAAAGTGCAAAAATAGAAAATCATACAAAATATCTGTTTCTGAATTCCGATTAATCGTGGTGGAAAAATCAAGATGAAATAGAAAATGACTTAATGGATTTACTAATTTTTAAAGTGTTGGATATGTTTGTCACCAAATTTTTTAAGTTTCATCATATTCATGCAAAAAATATAAATATCAATAAATTCTTCGTTTGGGTAAGAATGAGATACAATGTACATTAAAGAATCTGTCTAAGGGCAATTTGCTTATCATGGTAAATCCTTGTAAAGATTTATTCTGAACGTTTTTATTTTTGTTTACGTTTATCTATTGGTAAGTCGAATGTTTACTGCCATTTTTCATACAAATCGTTAGGCCATTATTTTCTCAAATCCAAGTTCAATTTTAATGGTACATAAGGTTCTATGTACAATATATGCAAAGACAATATACACGATACATTTGAAATGGCGAGAATACATTCAAATTAAGTTAACAAAAATAATTATGGAGGACAGACTTGTTCATGTACTCTAGCCGTGTAACTGCACAATTTGATTAATGCACTGGAGTCAGCAGTTGACAATGATTCTGAGAATTTGTATTTTAAAAAAATGGCATCGTTATACGTTCTGCTATAAATGACCAAATATCCGATGCCGTAGTTCTTTTATAGTTTTGTTTGCACATGCGCAGAAGTGAGGCCAAAGTAAGCAGTTAGCAGTTGACAGGAAGCAGAAACCAGTTGGCCGTAAGCAGTAAGCAGCTGGCAGTAAGCAGTTGGCTGTCGTATATGGAATTCCATACTTGTACAATATTTACTAGGTAGATACTTTTTCCGGCATTCTGGAAAAAATGACATTCCTCAATATAGTGATACTCATCTACTATTTGTCCCTATTAAGAACTGCAAATTATCGTCTCCCAGTTGAGACTGGGAGATTGTGTGGAATTCCCCAAGATGGATTGACTTTGTAATTTCTGTAATAACTTATTACAGAAAATACAAAGTTATTACAGAAATTACAAAGTCAATCCATTTTGTGGAATTCCGCACCATCTCCCAATCCCAACTGGGAGACGATGATTTGCTGTTCTTAATTTAATTAGGATTGTACAAAATGTTTTAGGTTGTATATTAAAATACACATGTATTTTTCAAATACAAATTCTGTTTTGAAGATACTGTATATATGACCTTTGGACGAATCTCACATACTATATCGCTTTGCCATTGCTGTATGTACTGATTTTTAATTAAGACGTACAATTATAGTTTTCAACCATTTCATATTTACAAAGGCTTGCAAGGGTTCGTATGAATTCCCGTACAAAACTCTTTAAATAAATATTTATATATGACATAAACAATCTTATTTTCAGGGCTAACCAGTAATTTTGCCCAGTGGGATATCATTCTTATATACACCGTTACATGCAAAGGGAAGCGACCTGTTTCTTCATAAACCGTATAGCTTGGAGTACTACTTTTCAGATTAAAAATATATTTCAAAAATTTTAGATGAACACTCTTAATTATTTCAATATTCTCCAAACCCCATATCTCACATCCATACAAAAGCACTGCTGCGACAATCTTTTTCGAACAAATCATGTTGGCAATCTACTGGTAAATTAAATTGACTCTTAAGTAGAAAATTTTTCGTATAACACCATACATGGCTTAATTTTTCGGGTTGCTCACTTATATGTTTTTCAGTCTTACAAAATGAACCTGATCGGTAAAATAAGATATTTAAATTCGTTCACAATTTCAATAACTGAATAATTGTAATAGAATACATTTTTAACGGATGGACCTTTTGAACAAATCATGTTTTGTTTTGTCCACATTGACATTCAGTTTCCATTGTACACAGTTCGAATGAAACTCATTAAAAACGTGTCACAAACCTTCTGCAGACTCAGATATGATTATATAACAGCTGTATAGAACAACATAAAAAGTTAAAATACAGCAAAAGTTGGTTTTCTATAGTGTTTGAAACGCAAGAAATTCGAACGTCCGAGGTGTGTTTCTTGAGCCCTCGGGCATCCTGCGGGGTGGATAGTTCCGGGTGTTGACGTGTTGCGGTTCATCAATGTACAATTTGTCCACAACAAGTTTTACACGTCTGTTTTCTTTCTTCGCCTTGCGCATAACTGGGTACAACTTGCGTCTTTTCTCTCTATCTCCGGTGGAAATTGTTCGTTTACCCAAATGTTGGATCTCTTCAGTTAAAGAGGAGCATGTTGGCGAACAAAGAACTACGCACGCTAACTCTCGATTCCCGCCTACATTTTACACCCATTCAATTCAATACTAATGGCAATTTGGCCATAAAATTTTGGTGGAATGCAAAAAAGAGTTAAATGGTAATTGATTAATAATTTTAATGCCAGTGTTAAATAGTTAATTACTCTTAATTCCAACTCCTTTTATAAAGGGGGGGTGGGGGGTTAGACGATGTTTACCATTGGAATCGGACTTGAAAGCATCAACATATTTTAAAATATTCTTGGATATGGATAAATGTTCCTTAAACCTTTTCTTATGTTTTACGTATGTAAAATTAAACATATGTCATTGATAAAATACATTGTTTAAGTTGTAAACCCCTTCAAAGTTGGTGAAAAAATGAGCATTTTTGTCTGTAAACATATGCCCCCCCCCCCCCTGGAAACACAAAAAGCTTTGGTTTGAATTTGTGAAATAACAATTCATAATACCTGTAAAAAGGAATTTTTGTTTCACGGGGGGGGGGGGGGGGGGGGTTGTTAAAAATATTTTCCGTTGATTTCTATAGTGAAAAACACAAGTTTTACCAAAATTATAGAGTTATCTCTCTTTGTTTTCCCAAATGAGTAATGTTTTATGAAAATTTATATAAATATCTATATAAATATGAAAAATCATTCAAATATGTTAACTTTTGAAAATTGACTTGGAGGTAGGCGGGAGAACAATACTATCGATCGCAGTTCTTCACGATCCTTATAAAAATTGAACGTAGCAACAATGTTCCTTGGTTTTGGTCTGACCCATACGATGCACTCTCTCAAAAGGGATTTCATCTTAGATTTTCAATTGGTTTTCAAGAAATATCGCATAACTCTATCAAAATTTTGCGCTCCGTTCTCTGGAATGCCAGTGAATACTAGGTTATCTCTCATTGATCTGCTTTTTAAATCGATTACTGATTTCTGTAATTCACTTTGACCGTTGCTTAACTCTGTAATATACTATAATATAGTATCAGTTAACTTTTTTTGTTTAATTTGGCTGTATCATATCTAATTGCTCTCAGATCTCGGTCTGGAGTAGATTTTACGTTCTCACTCATGGACTGGGCACCGACCTCAATGGACGCCAAGGTCTGTTTCGCATCACTGACCTCGCTGTAAAATTGTTTACCCTTTCATTCAATGTCGTAATAGAGTCAGTTATGGACTGAAAATGTGTCACTTGATTTAAATTTCACACAGTCTCTGTATTATTGTTCTCAATGGCTGCTAATCTTGGGTTTTATTTACACACTGAATTGTCGACGGATTTTTTCGTTATTTCCCGATCATGACAAGGAGCACACGGCGGGTGTGACCGGTCGGCAGGGTTGCACACTCCTCCATGGCACCTGATCCCACCTCTGATGTCTAGAGGTCCGTGTTTGCTCTGCTCCTATTTTGTGATGTTTAATGGACTTTTGAGCTCGAATACTGTTCGTTATCTCCACATATGTCATTGTAGAAGAGGCTCGTGTAGTGTCCCATGAGAAATCTCTTGCTGGGCTGTTTGAGACTCATCATTACAATAGACTGGGTACATAGCAGAATGACTCTGAGATAGTATACTCGCAGTATCTGCAATCGATGTTTCTGACATGATTTTAATAGATCAAATGTATCAGTCTGATCAGTTACATTATACACACTGGTAACCGGTAGCAGACAACTGGGTGTATACATGCACCATCAAGAATGACCACTGAACACTACTCAATGTTCCGAGTGTTAGCAATTTAAACAAACCTTCTAAAACACACTTAGAGAGTCCCTACACCCCTGTCTATCTGCTTATGATTCTTAAGAACTAGTTCTCGCAGATTTTCAACTTCAGACTGTGCAAAATACAAACTTGCACACGGATTTCATACAAAAATTTCATAGTCTACTCAAAACACCGCCATACTTGTCGAATCACCCGATCTCCTTCTCAATGAATAGTCTACGGATTTTTTCTGTTTACTCGATCATGACAAGGAGCACAAGGCGGTATGACCGGACGACAGGGGACGCTTACTCCTCCATGGCACCTGATCCCACTTCTGATGTTTTTAGAGGTCCGTCTTTGCTCTGCTGCTGATTAGTATTGTTTCAATGGACTTTTGACTATGACTACTGTTCGTAATCTTCATATTACATACAGGCTATGAATTAAATGTTTGAAAATTATGCATTAACATTTTTTTTACCTTTTCCGTTTGCCCACATATTGGAAGAATTGATAATAAAAACATATAAATCAACAAGATGAGTAATTTTAAGGATTTTATTCTGTGTGTTTAAACAAAAATGTTTTACTTCCAATGGAAATATATAACACAAAATATATTATATATAACACAATTATATTGATAATAGGTCGCTTTGGTACAATAAACAGAGAAGGACAAAACAAGAGAAAAATTCAAAATTAGAGATATGTGCAGTAGCAGGCACTTGTAGGATTTTAGGATAAGCATAAATAAAAAGAGAAATGCACTTTTTCTTAATGTTCAAAGTTAAAGCCCTCTGTCAGACTGTTTTCGGAACTGAAGATCATAAATGTATGGCACCTATTTCGTAGGGCAGATTTAGTTTAATTTTACGATGAACAATGATTCAGTATTATTAATTTCTACCCTGAAATTTTCAGAATAATTTGATAAAAAGGCAAAGGTCTTTTGTATGAGCCAGCAAGGTAAACGCATAATGTCAAGTACATATCACATTACAGGGTTAATATCACACTGGTTTGTTAATATCTTCCGGCCAATTTTATGCTCTGGAGTTATCTTTCGTCCTTCGTAAAAGAGTAATCGTTCTTTACACCGGTAAAGCGAAGGCACCATCAGCCGACACAAAATAAAATGAAAGAGAAACCAAAGTTTTTGGCTATGTTTGCAGAGAAAGAAGACTTTTACACAAATGTGTATATATGTACATAACATTTAAAAACGCAATGAATATATATGTACGAATATATGTTTATAATCGTAATAAGATGATAAATAATACCGAATTTCAATCCACAAGACACGTTAAATTGACCAAGTACAAACACGGCTCGACAATGCGCATTACATCGTATAACTGGCAGCATCATTGATTGTTGTGTAGTAGAAATTGCTCACGTGATGGATAAAATGGTTTTACTTTTTCTCACTTTTCTTGAAGAATCCCTTTTTAAATATAGATGATCCTCTTCTCTCCTCCTTCTGTTGGGTGCCATTTGTATCGCCTGCTTTTTTGTAGACAATAAGGTAGTTATAAATATTTGGCATCTCATCCTCCTCCTTCCGTCGCCCAAACAAACTCAGCATGTAGTTTCCAGTTTGGGGAAGATCTATGTGATACTTGATCGTCCCGCCTTTTTCTGGTAACTTGGCGATGTGATCCTTAACGTCTGTATCAGGTTCTCTAAGAAACTGATGTGTCACGATGATGTCATCAGGAACCAGAATTTCTACAGTACACGTGTTAACATCAGTTATTGTTATCTTAGGATCTTTGGGGCTTATTGCTTTAATACCCAAGGACTCAAACGTCGGCTGCGGTCCCCATTTTTCTTTTTTAATAGTCGACTGCTGTTTTTCTACGGTTTTAGGGAGTTCTACTGGGTTTGATACTTTAAGGCAGTTGACGAGATATTTCATGGCGTGAGACAAGGTGGTGTTTTCCCCCGCCTCTTTGGGACGTCCGTAAATATCGAGTCCGTACTGGCCGATCTGAGGTAGAGTTCCCGTGATATGGATGATATCTTTCTCTATTTTTGTGGTGATAAAAGCATCCAGTGTCTTTGTATCCACATTGTTCATTTTAAGCTTAGCGACCACGTGCAATGGGCGTGGCATTTTTAATTTGATATCGAGGCTATCATCCACGTTCAGAATCCCGGCCTTGGGGTTTTCTGGAGGGTCATCCCCAGAAGAGCTTCCACTGTCTGATATCCTATCCCCCTCACTAGAATCAGGTGAGGACCGAGTTTTGGAGGATTTCCCCGGCCTTGTTTGAAGCACCTTTAACCCAAAATGTCGGTAGGCTTTTTTAGGTCCCCACTCCCCTGATGCACAGTCGGGAAGTGGGTACATTTTACCACTAAGGGAGTTACACACGACCTTAAACTTACAAGTACACTTCAGTCTGAAGGGAGAAATAGATGTACCCGTGGTCTCCTCAGCGTTTATAAGTCTACTACTCTCTTCAATTTTATTAGCAAACACTTCAAAGAAATATTCACCCACCGCAGGGACATGTATACTGAACATCACGGTATTGTCTAACATCGTCTGAAACACGAACCTCTCTAGATTTGCCCCTTTGTAGGTCGCCTCCTGTCTTTTCTCTTTGTCTGCATACCTCATCTGATAATAAAACACCAGATCATTCTCATATTCTTCTGGGATTTTTATCTTGACTTCAGTTCCTCCTTTCTCGGTAGTTTCTAAAACGGCAGTCAAGCTCTTCTCAAACCTCATGCCGTAGTGGAAGAAGATGGAGCGGACAAATGGTAGTGCCTCAAATTCCTCCAGAGTGATTGGGTTTTCTAGAAGCTGCCATTTTGGATCAGCGGCCCAGAATTCTTGAATGAACTCATCAGGGTCTGTCAAGAAATAGTGCTCGTCGTATTGATACCTGATCTGGTCCTTAGACTTGGGTTTGGGTTTGTCCTTACTTTTCTTGTCTTTGTTCAGTACCAGGTGTCTGAAGTAAAGTATATGATGTCATAAAGAGATTTCCTCTCAATCTGACACAAAATAGGCAATGATAAAAACTAGAAAAAGTATACACTGTGTTTGTTTTAGAGCAGTCTGGTTAAAATCGGTATACTTTTCTTCTTAAAGTCAAAATTTACTTATCATAGCGACAAATCTTGTGCAGCTTTATCTTCATTCATCAAGTTTTACGTTACTCTTTAGTCTATCTTCAAACAATAATTTTTACCTCGCTCCCCAGTTACATTGCACCAGTCTCCAGTCTCCGTCGATGAGCACGGCGTTCCAAGTATTCTGGAAATGATCGGGTTTGATCTTCATCCCGGGCTCATACCCAACACTTTTGGAATGACCTTTGATCTCCTCACAATGAAGACCCGCGTAACTAAAAAATAACATTATGATAAAAGGTTCAGAACATAAATTAACTGAAACATTTCACATCCGGCGCCTCAGTTTTCCCACTCTTTTCCTAGTTGTCCTTTCTCCTTGCATGCTAATAATAACTTTTCATCAAACATCTTTTTATGACATTAATTTATAGTTACAAATATTTGGACCTTAGGAATTGGCGACATAAACAGGTTTTGTCACGTAATGTACTGAAAAAACACATAGTCTTTAATAATGTATAATTATAAATTATACACACTCCAGAAACAACAGATCCACACTTTCTACTAATCTCAATACCTGCAAAGTCTCATGAAGAGCACGTGATAGGTCTCTGTCCCATATTTGATTCCCCTTAGGAGCCCCATGGGCGTGTCTGTTTCTGTACTTTCCTCAAATTCCATCACATTTAAATCCTTGACCGTAACCCAGCGGTAGATCGCCCTGCAAAAATCATATGTGTTACATCACATTTAATTCCTTGACCGTAACCCAGCGGTAGATCACCTTGCAAAAATCATCAAGTGTTACATCACATTTAATTCCTTGACCGCGAGAGCGGTAGATTGCACCGAAAATCGTCATCATATGTTTACATCCACCTTGCCAAGATCACAACTTGTGTTGTACTGGTTTTGCATGACCAAAAATTAAGAAAAAAATCTCGATCACACAGTAACATTAATTTATCAATTTTCTGCGAGATCCGTGCATTTACCACAATATCTTTCCACTTTCTAACAAAGAAGTGTTGTCTTTAAGATATGATACTCTATTTCATTATGAATTTCATTGTACCCTCCTCATCACCACCACAACCATCTTTTGATTCATCAACAGCATGGTATACGTTTAGAATGATTCTAATCATATCATTAGCATAAAGAGTAAAAGTAAAGACGAACTTTTTAACAAAGATTCATTATCTATTAAGACTTACTAAATACTTAAATGTTTCTTTTTATATCAGCATTTTGTTTATATTTTAAAGGTCATTTTGATCTAACCAATCTAAAAAAAGGATTCCAAATGATTCCATGATACGATATACTTAAAATGTTTCTTTTTATATCAGCATTTATATTTATATTTTAAAGGTGATTTTGACCTAACCAATCTAAAAAAAGGATTCCAAATGATTCCCTGATACGGTATACTTAAAATGTTTCTTTTTATATCAGCCATTACATTTATATTTTAAAGGTCATTTTCATCTGACCAATCTAAAAAAGGATTCCAATCTGTCAGTGTAGAAATCATGAGACATCACTCCATTAAGTTAAGTAGTCGTGCGTGATTTATTAAGGACATTAAGTGTAAATATACTAGTTCTTCTAATGTCATCCTATTTTTGGTCACCAGGCCTGAACGATTTCACTGTACCTGGCTTTCTCCAAATCGGTAACGAGATCTTCTGTCAGCTGTTGAACCAAATCTGTGTAGGTCGGCTGTTCGTTCTCCGCAACCTATGGAAGAGAAAATAATGTATGTTCAAAGTTTACAATATATTCTAATTCAGTTTATCTGAACTCTCTAATTGCAACATACAAATGACATAATTGATATGTATTATAATAAGTTCACAATGTATTCTTATTACAGTTTTACGTGGTCTCTCTACTTGCACCATACAAATGACATAAACACTCATGTTATATACGAACCTTAATTGTTTGTTCGTCGATATCATTGAACTGTGAGGGGTCCACATACAGGTCTTGTTTCCTGCAGGATGGGGGATGGGGTGAGGGAATTTCTGTAGGGGCAACAGGGATAATCTCTAATGCCTCCATTGCTTCCTCTATTTCTTCTGTCTCTCCATTAGCTGTACTCCCTTCCACTTTCTGCATTAACAACATATGATTGTGCATTTACTCTATTTTTTCATAAACGTGATAAATCAATAGATTCCCAAATAAAAAGAAGTTAAACCCTAATCAACTTTAATAACTTGATCATAGAAAAAAATGCAAGATATCTGTTGAAAATATTACGGTATTGTTTATAATAGGTGTAAATCAAACACTCGCCACTGGGTATTTACATGTGGTAGAAAGACGCAAACTAAAGATACACGAAAATTTTAGTCCTCAATATAGCATATAAACCTTTATCCACGTTTCTTTTAAGCGTGCCTATGTGTTACTTTCCTTCTTTATGACCCAGTGGAGTTTTATTCAAAGACTCGACCATATAGTGTGCCTAAGTGTTACAATGCATCTTTATTATTCAGTGAAATTTTACTCACAGACTCAGCCACCATTTCCTGTTTAAGTTCCTGTTTGAGTTCATCCTGTTTCTGCGCCAATATTTCTAACATCTGACGACTCTGTCGCGCCACCATTGTCGCTGTTTTCTTTTGTTCCTTCTCCTTCAGTCTCAGTGTCATAGACTCCTGCTTCTTTTTCTTTTTTTCCTGAATGACAACTTCTATCTCTCTCTTCTTGTTCTCAAAGTGTATAGTCATTTGCTAGAAATTTAAAACCAATAGAAATTGAATTTATATTTCTATGTGAAACAGAGTTATTATTTCTTATATGCAATTCAACAAGATCCTTAAATGGAACAAAAATCAGGTACATGGTGAAATTGTCCATTTTCAGTCATTTGAATATTTTATGCGTCATGTTTTAAACGTGAAGTCATAATTGGAAACAAAAATAAACATACATGTATACACCTGTGAAGATTTTTTAACTTATGATGTTCATTTTTTGTTGGTTCACTTGGAATTCTTAATTTTAAATATGCAGCAGATGTATCCAAAACTGTTTCCTGTTTGTGAATGAATATTTCGTTTTGTGTATGTTGACTTTTTCTCCCATTTCAGTTTAATATAAATACCTTTCTTTCGCTGTCTTTCATCTTTTTCTTCTTTTGTCCAAATTCTTTATCAAATTTTTCCGTTAATTCTTTCAATCTGGCCTCCCATTCATGTTGCAGTTCTGCCGACAGACGGCGCTTTTCCTGTTTTCTCTCATTCTGGAATTCATCCAATAAACGATCTTCCTCTCGCTTGTATTCAGCCTCCAGGCGGCGCTGCTCCTCGATCAGTTTCTTGCGCTTCTTATACTGTAAAGAAGAGAAAGTACACAGGACATACAGAATGATTTAATTTCAAAAATATTAAAGATAGCATACATGTATACTTTAAGGGTTTTAATTTCCGTTACTACTTTGAACGCAGTTCGACGGATGACCTGTGAAAGCACGTCCGTAACCTAAGATAAATCCTCAGTTAGTCTAAAATTGTTACACTGCAGTGTTAACACACATACACATACATGGGACTGAGAAATGAGACAATCTGTGCTGCTTTATTTCAATTTTATTAAGCTCAAACTTTAACATATGACATATACTTATGAATTAAATTTCAATCCATTCACAATTTCTTTCAACATTTATTGACAATGCATGGTAAATACGCTTCAATTTCCCAACTTATGTATTTTACCAGCTATTTAAACTGCAAGATTTTATCAGTTTAAAAATAGCAGTTATCCAAAAAGAAAAAAAAATGTACGCAAAGAATAATTAATTTCTTGAAAACCTCAATTAGTATTATTTATCGATTTTGTTTCGCATGGGCTTTCTTTGAATCTTGCAGGAAACATCGAAACTTGATTCAGCAGTAAACTTTATTTCATTAAAAATGTTCTTATAAGCAGGACCACAGCAATCCTTAAATATGCATACCTGCAATATCTTCTTAATAACTTTGCACGACTTAAAATTCATGGCCATAGGCATTTATGTGAATGAGTTGTCAAATGTTTATCGTTGTGTAATGACCCATGGGCAATGTCGTTTGAAGTCATCTCTTCACGTTTTTGGCTACACATCCCCGGTATTAATCTAAGTTTTCCCTCACATCAAGGCTATGGCATGTCAAACGTTGCAATATTCGATCTTTTCCATTTGTATTGTATAACTTTCCATTTGTATTGTATAATTTTTATTTGTATTGTATAATTTTTAATTTGTATTGTATAATTTTTCATTTGTTTTGTATAATTTTCAATTTGTATTGTATAATTTTTATTTGTATTCTATAATTTTCCATTTGGATTTTATAATTTTCCATTTGGATTGTATAATGTTCATTTGTATTCTATATTTTCCATTTGTGTTGTAAAAAAATCATTTGTATTGTATAATTTTTCATTTGTATTCTATATTTTCCATTTGCATTGTATAATTTCTTATTTGTATTGTATAATTTCTTATTTGTATGCGATAATTTTTCATTTGTATTGTATCCGAGGATTGTTTATTTATTTCGTTACGAAGGATGTCATTGGTCATAAAATTTAGTCTGTATAAAGGTCTCAGGTGCCCATCACAAACTTAGTCTGGTACCCTTCCCACAATTCCGATCGCGCACTCTCTACAAACACAAACTCGGCTCCTCTATTTGCGGTGCATGCTAAGGGACGACCATTTGATTCTCGGGGGGTGTCGAATCCGATTATTTATTTTCATTCTCTCGCAGGAGAGAATATTTATTTCCAATATGACCAGAGACAAGGAGAAAAACAAAAAGAAGAAAATCCGCCCAAACCCGAAAACTCAGTTTATTGGGGGTGGGGGTAGTTACCACCACTCAAGGTCAATTTATTTATTTTCTCAGTCAGCATTCCTAAGGACAGATTATTTATTTGCCATTTACCGGCGCTCCCTTTTTAGAATCCAATGACCGTCTAACATGCACGCAAATACATATGCCGCCGAAATATGGCTGAAATATTGCCGACTCGGCGTTAAACAATAATCAATCAATCAAGCAAGCAAATACATATGAGCCCAGTTTGCTTTGAGCATCCGGAACATCTTCAACCCGATACAGGCTGAAACTTGACCAATGAAATCCTTCGTAACGAAACAAATAAACAGTCCGCGGATACAATACAAATGAAAAATTATCGCATACAAATAAGAAATTTTACAATACAAATAAGAAATTATACAATGCAAATGGAAAATTATACAATACAAATAAAAATTATACAATACAAATGAAAATTATACAATACAAATAGAAAATTATAGAATACAAATAAAAATTATACAATACAAATGAAAAATTATACAATACAAATAGAAAATTATACAATACAAATAAAAATTATACAATGCAAATGGAAAATTATACAATGCAAATGCAAAAGATCGAATATTGCAACGTTTGACATGCCATATCAAGGCTCACCCAAAACCATTTTTGTTTGTTTGTTTTTTTCCTAACACAGGACTACAAGCGAATTTAGTCTTATGCTTATGATGGCGATAAAGACTGTCTTCTTTCTTTTCCCCCTCCATTTGTACCCAAGGCTATAGGAACCTCAGCTATTGTTAACATTCGGGGTGTTTAATGTATATTTAGGTTATCACGCCATTTCCATTCATACTTTAATTCTTCCTTGTTTGGATCATGAAAACGTAGAAAAGATCGTAATTTTCCCAGTCTAATTCAAAGACTAATCACACTGCATTATTTAAAATATAAAATAAATATTGTATTTTAATGAATGCAAAGATATCCCTTTACAGTATTAATCCGAGTGGTGGAGCCTGTAAATACAGACTATCATTTCACCAGAAGTTTTCTTATGAAAATAATTTTCATTTGTAAGCTATTGAATGCTTCCATATGAGTGACCAACTTTTTTTTCCTGATTATGTATTGAAGATCAATAATTTGAACTTGTCGTATGACTGTGATGTAGATGGCAAGTTTATGAGTTTCCGGGATTTCCCAGTCAGAGGGGGATAAAAAATCTATTAACGTGACATCTGCAAACTGTCTACTTTATGTCGATATAACTGACAAAAATACAATACCTAAAGTCGTAAAAATGTCGCGTGTTCGGGATTTTACGCCCCAAAATCGACACATCATCCCCTGGGGTGGTGACAGACACGTTAGGACACGATGACCTTGACATCAAACATAAGTTTCTTTTGTTAATACGCAACCTACCTCACCTGCTGATAATTTTTCAAGATATTCTTAATTTGAGATTATAGTGTCATCAGACATTAGTAGACAAAAAATCAGCATGCATTACCAGGGGTTTTGAAAAGACATCAATTGATGAAAATTCTTGTATTATTCAAAGAAAAATACACAAAAATTACTAAACATATATTCTAGATGTTTTGTTTATCTAACTTGTTTTAAGAAGAAGTGAACAATAGAATATATAGATATGGAAATGTATCACATGGTTCCTTTAAGTATTGGAACTCTTCAACTCCAGGGGAAAAGACAATAAAGTTCAAACTACGCTGCGTACATGTATGTCCTTAAAGGTTATACGGACTAAACGATTAGAAATCAAATTGTTTTCTGTATTTCCCCTTTTAAAATTATTTTTGTAGTCTAAACATAATCAACCTAGGCCATCTTTTTTTTCTTTTTTTTTTTTTTTAAAAGTTTTGTTTGACCTCTCTCGACCGACTTGCTAAAAATGGCCCGACTCAAAAAACTTTTTGAAACTTCCAAGAAACAATTTTTTTAAAAATTAATTTAGGAATTTTCTCATTCTGTCAACAATATTTCGGTTTTATTTACATCTACCTACCGACCCATTATTTTTATCTCTGAGTCGGGAGGGGGTAAACAAACATTACTTTTAAGATGGCCCTACATATCTGACTTTTTAAAGATTCATTTTCTTTCCAGGAATTTTTTTAAAAAAGGAAATTTAAATCCTAGTTCGTGATTGTCCTGATTGTCCCAAATAAAGTAAGGAAATCCAGAATTCCTGACCGAGGCGATTGTTGGGGGTAACAGAACCGTAATGTGACTGGGCGAGCACACACACGAAAATTTGGAACTTTTATCTCGATGAAAGCTCCTTATATTCCAAACACTGTTAAACTTCACCCTCGTTTTATTCCTGCCTAGAGTTTTAGAGATGTTTCAAGAGATCTGGGGTATTAAAGACAACACTCGGTGTCTAATCGCCGCGTTAATCACTGCCGGGTGCTTCTGTTTTCCTGATACAATGATGACGGGTCCTCTTTGATTCCAAAACAACAGTTCGCCGGGTGCTTCTGAGTAACAAACAATGGAATTAACGGCCCACATAATTCTGTTAATCTCTTAAGAACACAGAGACAACCCGCTAATCCAAAGTCAGAGGCTTAGTTTTAATTCAACCAGACATTTCTAGTTCTCATGTGAATCAAGTTTTGGTCATAATTTCAACTTAATATTGATATGAATCACCCCCCCCCGCCCCCCCCCCCCCGCTATATTACCACGTGTATCACGGTTGTTACATTTACTTTTGGGTGTTCAAACATTCCTGACACATGCATGCAGCCCCAATCATTGGAGTGATGGAAGCCCAATACCCTCCATGAAGTTTTGTCAACAAAACAGTTGACGAATGGGAAAATGTTGGAACAAGGACATTTCTTGACATTTTTCTACGAAAATTAAGTTCAACGTACAGATATCTGCAATAAAATTGACACTAGAATATCGCAATAATATTCTATATCTATAATCAATTCTACTGTACTTTAATATGAAAATAAGTGTAAAACTTCTCTTTAAAACATTAAGTGAATAACTTTACACTTTAACCACGCTTCAGACTTTTGTCGAGTTAAGTATTTACTTTATTTACATGATGCCAGCTCACATAAAAACAGTACATCGCTAATGGACATTTCACCGCAGATTCCCAGACCATGAAATCTGATTAGCGCTGCCATTCTCCAGTGACAGGGTGGTATAAATATAGACCCTAACCTGCTCAACAACTTCTCTTATGTCAACATACTTTTGTCCTTTTTATGGAGACCGTATCAACTTCTTTATTCACAAAAGACTTGGAAATCCACTTAGGAAAGTGTTGACGTACACTACACATCATGCCCCCTTGTGTCGAGCCACAATCGTCATGTAAAACATCAAAGATATTTTATATATTGTCATGATAAGAAATCCCCATGTAAATGGAGATATGACTTCAGTTCACCTATCGAACAACATAACATTACTCTAAGAAAGTAACAAGGGCTATCTCTGGTTTCAGACCACCGTGTTATTGAGTTTGATTGTGCTGTATTCTTTCGGAGTGACCGGGTCCGAGTTGTCCGGGGGGTTATCAGGGTCCAGGGACCCCTCACCTTTGTCAGGGTTTGATACACAGTATACAATAATCCTCGGCAAACAGACGGCGATTAGATCTGTTTGGATTGTGGTGTATTCACTGTATTGGTAATCAATAAGAAACACATGAATAAAACATGCCATGACTAAAGAAAAACTTTATAAGCAAGAACTCATGTCTGTCTTTAAAAAAAAACAAACTGTGAAGTGGGGAATTTTATAATGGTTAAGTTAAGAGAGGGGTGTGTTGATCTGCATGACCCCCACCACCATGAAAATTTGTGTGTTATGGTGTTTATAAAAGACTTTAGAATTGAGGGGAGAGGCGGGGAAGGAATATACTCTCTAAATATTCTACATGTATATTGATAGATGTCTAAAATTTAAAGATTCTAGAAAGATGGCTTAAGCTGTGAAAGGTCGGGGAAAGGGGGGGGAGGGGTTTTTGGGAGTTCAGAAATCAGTATAGAAAGGGGTTCGGGGGATACTTACAATGTTTGGTGGGTAGTGATGCTTGTCCAGTTTGCGTTGGTAGCCCTGTCGGAGAAGCTGTGCCTCTATGGGGCCCTTTATGTACAGGGCATTGGCGTCGATGTCTACACCCTTATGAAGAGATTCAGCTGTTGCGCGCTCCGCCACGTAGTCTTGGGTTTTAGGTACAGTGGTGGCGCGTTTGATTGCCACCGCCTCATAGTTATAGTTAGGTTTTCTCAGGGTCCCGGCCAGACGGACCTCCGAGTTCATCTTTTTGCTCATCTTCTTGTACACGTTTTGACTGTTGATGGCGTTTTTGATTCCCATGGCTCGTTCGTCAATGTGTGTCCCTCCGATTCGAGGCACATGCGTCCCACAGTATACCTCGCGATCTGAGGCCTCCGTCTGATTTGAGAAATAGTTCTTAATGGTCAGGAACTGACCACAGACTACACATTTAAAACAGTTCCTGTGAAATACTACATCGTGGACCGGGCCAATCTTTTCTGCGTGGTACACCTGGGCTTTACACCTGTGGCAGGAGTTCCCTTCTGACAGGGTGGGGCGGAACAAGGAGGAGAGTCGCTGATATCCCCGCTCCACGGACTGAGCTTCCGCCGTAGCGACTGCCATACTTCCCCGCTGAGTTCACACAGAGAGCACCGATTCAGTAGGCCATAACAACGTACTGACACCGAAACAATATATGTATATATCTAATATACCTCAGTTGTATCTAAATCACAAAAATATATCACAAAAAATCAAAAGATTGTGTATTCCCTTGCATGAACTTTCTCACATCCAGTTTGAGATTCGTTCTTTTTCGATCCTCGAGATCTGTGTGTGAAATTTCTATAGCGGGCGATTCCATTCTCCAGTCAGGTAAGCGCGCAATAGACCGTGACCATTGACACAGGTATGTAATTTAGGTAACTGATCCATACCTGAGGAAACAAAATACCTGACGTCCTACACACTTAGGACAAACAATTAACAATCAACTCAAGATAAAGGGTTTATCTATGTAACGACCCAGCCTACTAATTTACTACCACATTCCACAAGGTATTACAATTAATTATTGTTTTTCAAGGACGTTTATGTAAAAGATTAGCTATTTAATTAATGGCAAAATTTATACGTCATCACCACGGGATGTTTTGAGATTTAAAAAAAAATATCAATTACCAAACGTAAAAAAAATTAAAGTAAATTTTAAGATGATTTCAATGACACTCATTTGTTTTAATATAGTTCTCAAATGTACATATGTATATAGATGTCAATCCCGCTTCTCCGTGTTGTGTTTCGGTGGAATTGGTCACTCTGTAACAGACCTAAATATCGATGTCTGTCAGGCCAACCTGACCGAAATCTTGGTCTTTTAATTCTCTGAAAAGGACAGATGTATATCTCCCTGTCATCGGGTAAGTCTTACAGATCAAATCGCAAATCATTGTCAATTTTCTCAGTTTACCATAGAGTCACCTAGAGCGTGAAGTGAAGAGAAGAATATATAGGCCTAGAAGTCAATAGACAGATTACAGGCCGTGACCGAAGAATACTGAACATTGGAACAGTCCCGAGAGATATCGATAATTACTCCAGAATCTGCTGTCGTGTGAATATCTGTACATATTTGTCACGGACCACGCTCAGTGATTGATCAAAATGAAATAATTAATAAATATTGCTCTTTAAAAAAAAAGAGCTTTGTTATTCTCTCTGTCAACTCGAATTTCTGGTAATAGAGAATATAAATTGAAATCTTGTCAATTTTTTAGTTAAAAACATTGCCGTCTTTGTAAAATGTAATCAAAGAGCAGGATTTTTGACATCATAAACAACTGCTTCCTCAATAAAAATTGACCTCGCAATTTTTCATATCTTGTGATTGATCATCTACAAACAAATACTCTGAAGTTGATATTAATAACGATTCTCTGTAACCACTTAAACTTCTGCCACGCATGGTCACCGATTTTGATGAAACTTTGCCCATCATTACATCTTGACATTAGAAACATGTATCAAATAAAATTTCGTTGCTATGTGTCTTGGTTGCCATGGTAACAGCCAGAAAAGTTGGAAAAATTGAGATTTTCAGCTACTTTGAATCTTTATTGGGTCTTAATAAAGACTAAGAAAAACAAACAAACCATTCTCACAAAAACATGACACCTTGTTGCCACTTATGCTATAAAGAAACTATTTAGAATTTATTTCTAAGTAAGTGGTAACCATGGGTACATTTGGAATACATTTTAGATGCTGAAAAACGCTCAATATTCACTAGTGATGGATGTTACATGATCAAACTCAACCAACGACGTAAGAGAAACAATAAAACTATTTGACCTTAAGTAATTAAGTATTGGCAATATTATTCTAAAAATAACTTTCATGGTTGCCATGGTAACAGTGTAACCATACAAAATCTGTTGCTAAGATTGGGTTAATGATACTATCTTGAGGGGTAAAATATAAAATTCATGACTGGCCCATATACATCCTTAGGACCTTGCAACATCGACAACATAAGAAAAATTGGGAGTAATTGTTACTTTGCAGTGTAACCATGGAAACAACGTACCAAAGTGATATTTTTTTGCTGCCTTAGGAATTTACTTACCTTTTAATCAAGAAACATATTATTTGACTCACCTTGAATAGTACTTATCTGGTAGAACTAAGGTTTAATATCATATATTGATAAAGATGGTTGAAAAATACAGCACTGTTGCTATGGTTACCAAGAAGGTAAAATGTTCGATTTTGTTAACTTTATATCAATATTAAACCCTATGTGCCAGCTTTTTGCATCTAGTTAGAGATTGGGTGGTAGTTAAAATTGAAAGTTAGGTTAGTTGTTCATAAATATCAATCATAAAAGTTTTGGGAATCTACATACAAAGGTACGTATCCAAGGAAACAGAATACTTTTCAGATTTTTATGCATATTTTTCGGCTAATTTCCATAGCAACGCTCTGTTTAAAGAATTGAATTTGATTTATTTGAAATGTGAAAAATAGGGTCACGCCAACGCCTTTAAAAATTGATCATCAGTTATGTAGAAATATTCTTTTTTTAAAAGATAGGATATTATTAAAACACTTAGAGAGTAAATTTAAAATCCCTTCGTGGTATTAAAACCATGGCAACCATAGCCAACCTATAAGAAATATCGTATTTCGTCCTTGGTATATGTTACAACGATCTTTTATCTATAATTTGCTTGCATTTCAACCTATAATTGTTTTTAATCTTAAGTGTATGACTTTATAAAATTAAGTGAACAAAATAATCACTTTTGAATACTTTGTTTCCATAGTAACGTTTGTAATAGTTGATTTACTATTATCATGCATTTAAGAAATCTGGCCTTCAACTTTCAGAAACAGTCATTGCCACTTGTTTGCTTTGTTGCAAACGTTAACTGTGGGACTCTGAACATGTTGAAAAATGCCATTTTTCAAACTTTAGGACATGTTGCTATGGTTACCTAGGAGTGAAACGGTTCACCGCGGTATCGATTCATCGCGGTATTTTTTCTCGGTTTGATACACGGTGCAAAATCTCTAATTTTCGGTTCGGTTCATTTTTCGGTCGGGATCGTTATTCAGTCGGGTTTGGCATAAGGTAAAACACATTACTTAGTAAAATAAGTATAGAAAACGTAAATTTTTTATGACTGATAGCTTGTAAAATAATTTTTGACCGTCAAATAATTTTAATCAATTTCTTATAGTCAATTTGCAAATAAAACTCGTAAAATATGTTACTAGATTTAGAAAAAGAAAGCATAAAACAACGTTGAATTTGTTTTCTTCTATCAAAATGTATCGTATCGAAAATAACCGAACCGAGACAAAATTATACAATACGTATCGAACCGTGAAGGAGGTGTATCGTTTCACCCCTATGGTTACCATGACACACAGCAACCAATTTTTGCCTGATTTGAGTTTTCAGTATCAAAGACTTTTATCATAGAGAGTTTGGAGAAATTCGAAGACTATGCGTGCCACAGCTCCTACATAAAAGTTCAAGTCATTGCAGAGAATGGCTCTTAAAAGATACTTGAGTTTCTGATTGACAATATCTATGTAGTCTTCGGAGACCAGGTCTTCCAGCAATCTTTTTAAATAATTCCAACGAGCACTAATTGCGCTCCTTTGTAAGCCGATCTGTTTTTATATTCCTATGAAGCAGAATTTATTCAAGAATTTCTACATGAGAAGAAAAAAAAACTTTTGCCTTGACCTTCAAATCAGCATTTAGATAAATTGACGACGTTTAATCAATTAACAGTAGTTACTTTCATTCATATGTCGACTCGAAATTTATCCCAGTGAACTTGAAATAAAAGACACCACAGAGTCTATTAAACCTTTTATCTGGATATTTTACTAGCTAAAGAGGATAATGGCCAAGTAACAACTAAACTGTACGACAAACGAGATGACATCAGCCGAGGAAGCTACAGACAATTAAATAGTTGATGTTACAAGGATTTCAACAACCTCCTTTAAATTCAGCTTTCGCAATTCTACGGTCGGTATAATGACCTTGTTTGAAAATACAATAAAAAAAGGTGAAGATAAAGAACTGTGATAGATCTAAAAAAAAAAAAAATCAATAAAAAATACAAATCTGTGAAAAGGGCATAAAACACGAACCGCTGGAAATTCCAGGGGTGGGATCAGGTGCCTAAGGGGAGTAAGCATCCCCTGTTGACTGGTCACACCCGCCGTGTGCCCTATGCATTGATCAGGTAGACGGAACATTCCGTAGTTAAATTCAGTATAAAAACAAAGGGCATTTAGGCCTAAAAATTAGTATGCAACAAGTCAGCCAAAATACGACCCAATGATAGGTTATATTTGCTAACAAGGTCATTATAACGACCATAGAATTTACGAAATGCTGACTTTCACGAAGTTGTTGATGAAATTCCGGTAACATTAACTTATCTGTCAGTAGCATGCCTCGGTTTAAAAATTGATAGTACTCTAAGCACGCTCTTGAGTATCGAATAAGTCGGGAGATGTAAACACTGTAAGTAGGTGATACATGTAGCGGGATATTACTACATAAATAAAGAAAATTGACGATGGACAAGCTGAAGTCATCTTGTTTGTCATACAATTTAGTTGTTAGTTGGCCTTGTCATTTATAGTCAGTAAACGCTTCGTGATCGGGAGGTCGTGAGTTCGAATCTCGGCCGCGACTGACCTAAGTCGATAAAAAAAATGGGTAGCAACTGTTCCTTCGCCAAGCGCTCGGCACTTTGAAGTGAAAGTTGCGGGTCTTTCGGATGAGACCTTAAAAACTGAGGCCCCGTGTCACGACAGGCGTTGGCAAGATAAAGATCCCTCATTGCTCAATGACCCTGAGTGCCGAGTAAAGGTCAAAATTTGAAGCCCTTCACCGGTATATGGTGACGTCTCTATATTAGTGAAAAATTCTCGAATGGGACGTAAAACAACATACAATCAATCAATCATATAGTCAGTAAAACATCCAAATATGAAACAGGTGTGGCAGACTCTGTGGTGTCTTTTATTTCAAGTTCACTGGGATATATCAAATCGACATATAAATGGAAGTAACTATTGTTAATTGATAAAACGTCGTTGATATACCTAAATGTTGAGTTGAAGACCACAGCAAGTGTTTTCTTCTTCTCATGTAGAAGTTTTTGAATGAATTCTGCTTCTGCAATCTTCGAGTCGTATTTTGTCTGAAATGTCATACCATTTGTTAGGTTATTGAAAATTTGACTACGGATTACTTCGTCTACCTGATCAATACATAGGGCACTTGGCGGGTGTGACCGGTCGACAAAGGATGCTTACTCCTCCTAGGCACCTGATCCCACCTCTGGTGATTCCAGGGGTTCTACTTTTGCCCTGTTTACGATTCCTATTCTTTATGAATTTGATCACTACTAAATTGTTACCTTCACGTTTTACATCACTTTCTTCTTGGTTTAGCACCAATCATGTAGAACAATAGCATGGTTGACTGGAGAGTCTCCAGCAAGACTTGGACCCTCATTAGTTGTAGAGAATGACTATCTTTACCCACTTTGCTTAATCAAACTATGATTTTATCCAACGATTTGTGTGTTTCTATCCCTGAGCCTTGGGGAGGGGATAAAAAGCACACAAGGAGTTGGATAAAAAGTCATATCTATAACCATAAACCATCCTTTGATTCTTTTTATCACATGTTTTATACACTAAGGTTTTTCATGTTTTACACAGCTTTATATGTTAATCCACAATATTTGACGTGATCAAATTCACGCAAAAACCACCGTGGATACAAAAACGATATCCTATGACCTATATCTACTGTTTAAGAGTAAACATGTGATAAAATTATGTATTCTTTAAATTTGACATGTTAATAAATATGTACAAGATAATAAAGCTTTTGTGTGTCTTCGTGTTTAATTTTGTAATATATTTTCAGTACTTGAAAGTAATGAATGGATCTAAAGGAGAAAAAGCTACATGTATACACCTCATATTAAAATTTTTCCTTTCTTAAATGCACAATATTGGGAAAACAGTTTAGTGTCCTTAAGGACAATGCATCCTTCCACTTTGATAACAGAATCTGTCTTGCGGCTTAGGGATCGTAGTGAAAAAAAGGAAAGGAAAGTAATGAAATAAATTCTACGGTAGAGATTGTAAACAGAGTGCGGTATTTGGTCAGACCTACGTGTTAGTTATCATGTTTGCGTCACAGATAATTATAATTAAGTAGTGAGGTTTGACTGCACACATCTTGTTAAATAAAATGGAAAACAGGCGATTTTACAGTTAATGTAGCCAAGATGCACATTATAGGGCGAACACGTGTGTTATTTTGTTTATTTGGCTCTTTGTCTCCAGATCTGCCAACCTTTCATATGGTCTGTGTTAAAAGAGGAAGAAAAGGGGAAAGGGGAGGGGGGTATGCATGTGATACGTTTCCTTTATGTATAACTTATGTATAACTTGTATTTTCAACTGAAGAAAAATATACATGTATATATACGTACAGAAGAGATCCCGATTTAATAAAGTGACCATGACTCCCATCTTAATAAAATAAATCTTTTTGTATGTTTTATACTTGTAAATATATTCACATCTTAATAAAATAAATCCGTTTGTATGTTTTATACTTGCAAATATGTAAATATTCACTGGTAAGCACATGTAATATTAAAATTTTCTCAGGTAAATGAACCCCTCTACATTGAACACTACTGATATAAATGATAAAGATACCCGTCCTTGTTATCCGTTATCTTCAATTGATCGTTGACCAGTTAATCATCACTTCCGTTGCATAGATATATTAATTCTTTGCAATATTTTCATTTGAAGAGTAGAAGACATTTTACAACACTCATAAATCATGTTTAAAATGAATCTCACGGCCATTATGGCAATGGAACCTGTGGACAAGCTGTACCTCGGTTTGGGACTGTTGACGTCATTAGCGTCATTGCTCGCGTGTTTGACGTTGTTCTTCGCTTTCTGTTGTGTTCCCGTCATCAGGAACAGGGCACGATACATCGTTCTATGTATCGTGATAGCCAATGCAGGCGTTAGTATCGGCACTTTGATGTCAGTGGCTGTCAAACTAGGCTATCCGGAAGTCTCATGGAGATCACATCCGGTCTGCGAGTCGGCAGCCGCAATAACAGTCTTGTTCCGGATTAGTGGGTACCTATGGACCGTCACACTGGCCCTCCATCTTTGTTTTGAGACCTGGAAGAAGAATTTGTCCATCGCTCCGTCCATGACGTGGCCCGCTCACTGCATCTGCTGGGGATTTCCAAGTAAGCCAATTAGATGTTGTCTTTTAGTCCTCTTATGATATTCATATTCAAATTTTCTGTCTAAGCAACAGCCATTCTACCGTTATCATTTTCAAACATCCCATTTTCCTAGGACTGCCGTTGTCTAAGTTGTGCACACAACTTTAAAACAAGGTATTGAAATTTAAAAAAAAAGAAAAGAAATACGTTTGTTTATCTAGATAAAAAAAATTGCCGGTAACTAATACCCATATAAATTTGCTATCTAGAGGAAAAATTCTGATAGTTTTAGTCAAAAACCATAAACCCGTCTTCATTTCATTTATGAAGTCATTGGATATTAATAGTTTCCTTATGCCGTTCTTATAAATCAGTTAACAGTGGTTTAAATTACATGTACATATTGTAGTTAATTTAAAAAAAAATGTCCCATTTTTTGTAAGGTCACTGAAAAATTTTATAACTACTAGTATCTGTTGAATTAGCAAACTTGATATTCTATTTTTGTCTTAATTAGCGGCCATCATGATCACGCTGGTGGTGCTTGATGTCCTTGGATCAGACATCGGAAGTAAGCCCGGACACGTACGGCCTCCCTGGTGTCTGGTAGATCGGCAGATTTCTGACTACAACACGTTCGCCATTTTGGCGGGAATGGGATGGCGAATGGCAGCCCTCATCTTTTGCTCCATTGTTTACGTTCTGCTGCAGTTTAAGTCTCTCAAAATGGTAAGTACAAGGCAAATACAGGCCCGTAGGAAGCAATTTCAGTTGGGTGGGGGGGGGGGGGGGGGGGGCACAGCCATACATTTTCAGTTGAGGGGGAACTATCAACTACCAAAAATTTCTTGACAAGCAAAAAAAAAAAAAAAAAAAAGGTCCTTAGACGTTTTTATTGAGGGGGCACAGGCATATAGTATCTATGTTTTCTAAAGTAATCTATATATCGGCAAAATTATTGGGGGGGGGGGGCACGGCCCCCCCGTGCCCCCCGGTTCCTACGGCCATGAAATATATTGGGTAGCAAAGGTAATTTGAAATTCGTTTTCATAAAATAAAATACAAAATTCGATCCACACGAAGCATCCGTTGGTTGTTGATGCAGTGGCTGTGTGTGATCTCTATTGCTGGTTGGATCCATCGGGAAATTTTGCCTAGACTGTAAGCTTTCAAACAAAGAATGGGGAAAAGGGCTATTTTATTGGAGTTTCCTGATTGAAGTGTAACAAACCATGCAACTTTGCTTCAGTAATTGGCGCGTCCACTAAAGACTTATGCCCCCTTCTGATGAACAAATACAATGCAGCTTATCTTTGTAGCCCAAACCACAGCAGCCAGAGAGGCGACAGGAGGGGGAGCAGCACCACAAACCCGCGGAAAATCCAAATCGACAACTGCGCCATCTACTGGCGGTTTTTGTTCTGTTGAACATTTGGGGAGGATGGCACTACTTGATCTCCCAGTACCGTAATGATGTGGACGTTATGGTGGGGTTAGAGGTAATATTTGTAATTTCGCATCCTAAAAAATGATTAAAAATTCACAAAATGACCTTTATACCTAATGTTCTTCTCAAACATCAACCTGCAACAATGAACTTATGGTATGTTCTTTAAAGAAATAAACAGAATTAAGAACAAGCTGAAGAAAAAAATGTGGATGAACAATTATGATATCTAAAATTTCTCAGACCATGTAGTAAGCTACAAAAAAGAAAATTATGTGAAATGTACTATTCATTTAGCCCCACCCCACCCTGTTTTGGTTGGAAATGTTTTCATTTAAAGGACACTAGAAATATTTTTCTGCAATCTGCCGTAATGTGGTATAGTATCATAGATGTCATCGCTAGATTTAATCTTAAATCTGAGAATTCGGTGTACATTGTAGGTGGTGTGTGAAAACATTCAAGGCTTTGTCAACACAGGATTCATTTTCCTGTTTATCAGAGAAGTGCGCAAGGCCACGAGGAAGTACTGCTGTCAAGGCTTCTGTAAGTGCTGCTGTAGACGTTTCCGTGATGCTAATGTGTCACTTCCGGTAGAGATGGAACAGCTAAGAGAGGAAAGTGGAGACCATGCCCTCTTACTCGAGGCCGAAGATGACCGTGTGCACTTTACCAAAGGACCCTGATACAACAAACAAGAGGCCCATGGGCCACATCGCTCACCTGAGCACATTGGCTAAACTAAGGCACAAATCAGTTCAGTAATGAACGGGGAGGGGGGTGGGGTGGGGGGCTTGAATTTTAAACTACCTGATGATGCTTCCATGTCATTATAACAAATGAATTTGTTGTACTTGAGAAGATTTTAAAAGAATTTTCCCATTTATTTCTTTGTAAAAATTTGATCCCCCATTGTACCTCCTCCCTATCTCAGGGGTCATCATTTGAACAAACTTGAATCTACATTACCTGAGGATGCTTCCATATCAATAAGACTAACATAGCTTTTCTGTTCTTGAAAAGAAATTTTTTTTCTATATGTTCTTATGTAAAACTTTCAATCCCCCATTGGGCCCCACCCTACCCCCGGTGGTCATGATTTGAACAAAATTGAATCTGCACTACTTGAGGATGCTTCCATATAAATTTGACTCATCATGGCTTTGCTGTACTTGAGAAAAAGATTTTTCCTATATATTTCTATGTAAAACTTTGATCCTCCATTGTGGCCCCGCCCTACCCCTGGGGGTCATGATTTGAACAAAATTGAATCTACACTTCCTGAGGATGCTTCCAAATAAATATGACTCATCATGGCTTTGCTGTTCTTGAGAAGAAGATTTTTAAAGATTTTTTCCTATATATTTCTATGTAAAACTTTGATCCTCCATTGTGGCCCCGCCCTACCCCTGGGGGTCATGATTTGAACAATCTACACTTCCTGAGGATGCTTCCATATAAATATGACTCATCATGGCTTTGCTGTTCTTGAGAAGAAGATTTTTAAAAAATTTTTCCTATATATTTCTATGTAAAACTTTGATCCTCCATTGTGGCCCCGCCCTACCCCTGGGGGTCATGATTTGAACAAACTTGAATCTACACTTCCTGAGGATGCTTCCATATAAATATGACTCTTCATGGCTTTAGTGTTCTTGAAAAGAAGATTTTAAAAGATTTTTCCTATATATTTCTATGTAAAACTTTGATCCTCCATTGTGGCCCCACCCTACCCCCGGGGGTCATGATTTGAACAAACTTGAATCTACACTTCCTGAGGATGCTTCCATATAAATATGACTCTTCATGGCTTTACTGTTCTTGAGAAGAAGATTTTTAAACATTTTTCCTATATATTTCTTTGTAAAACTTTGATCCTCCATTGTGGCCCCACCCTACCCCCGGGGGTCATGATTTGAACAAACTTGAATCTACACTACCTGGGGATGCTTCCATATGAGTTTCATCTTTCCTGGCCCTGTGGTTCTTGAGAAGAAGATTTTTAAAAGATACTATTCATTTTTCACTAATTCTTAATTATCTCCCCTTGAAAGAGGGCGTGGCCCTTCATTTGAACAAACTTGAATCCCCTTCTTGCAAGGATTCTTTGTGGCAAGTTTGGTTGATATTGGCCCAGTGGTTCTGGAGAAGAAGTTGAAAATGTGAAAAGTTTACAGACAGACGGACAGACAGACAGACGGACTACAGACAAAATGTGATCAGAAAAGCTCACTTGAGCTTTCAGCTCAGGTGAGCTAAAAAACGAATCTCGTGACGTGGTTAGAAATCAAGAAGTAAGGGAGATAATTCCCACAAGTTACCTTGACTAGACACTGCAGATTGCATGTGAAAGCAATATCTGAATATTTTATGAACCTCAGCTATAAATGGATTGTCAGCAAATAATGTGCTTTAAAAAAAACATCATTTTTTTTTACCATTTACATGTGTCATAAAACAGAGAATAAGTGTGTGCTTTATGGATTTATTTGTCATTTTTGCCATGCAATTGTAAAAAAATAAAAACACATTCTCACTATGATAAATTACTTCTATATATCATATCACAATTCTGCATTGACATGTACTGGTATATAAGAAATAAATAATGTATTCTATCATAATGGCATTCCCATTATAGATAAAGAGTTGGAAGGGGAGAGTCACAAACCTATAATGCTGAGCGATGCACTCATTTCTCATTTAAAAAAGAATCAGAAATAGTTTTTTAATATCCGTAGAAAGCTTGATGCAATATCACTTAGTTGGTAGAGACCTGTATCAATGATAGACCACAACACACCTGAGATCAAATGTGCATGTAATGAGATCATGTTGAGGTATTTGATGATTTATACATAAACAAAACACATCCTTCCTCTCTTCAAGTACTGTTTCTGCACCCTGAGACAGAGATTTGGACAAACATCTGGGTCATCTCTAAGCTTTTAATGCTCACCATCAATCAGCCATAGATGTCTTCTAATGCTCACCAACAATCATCTATAGATGTCTGCATCATTTTTCGGGTTAGTTCTAGTTTGTGATAGAACCTAAGGACATCCGGATTAGCATGGACGCAGGACCGATCAAAGTCGAGAATCCGCAGTCCCTCCAAACTCTTGGCGCGGGACAGGGCTACATACGTCTGTCCAGCCTCAAACACTTTAGACAGGGACATCTCCACACAATCCAGAGTCATTCCCTGAAACCAAAAATAGGACATCCATAGGCCACAATGATCACCTGAGTTATTATCTTCCTAGCAAATTACAGTGTACATAAATGAAAATTTATTGTTGTCCTCAAATTAAAGCTCCATCATCACAAGCCATAGGTTTTGTGTTCATTCTATGTCCCATTTTATTATAATGGACAATTAATTTTGTCCACGTCATTGCCCATGTGATCATAAATTGAACAAATTTGTATCTCGACTACAAAGATGTTTTACTATTGATTTGACTAATTATGGCCCTCTTTTCTTTGTGCCCCCAGCCCCATGAATTGAACAAATTTGTATCCATGCATCTTTGCTAGCCAAGGGTTTCTGATCCACTACTCTCCTCACAAACCCCTGGCATATGGTGCTATCAAAAGCCGGAATTGTTAACAATATCCATACACAAGTCTTAGTTCTCAATCAAATTACTCCGGGCATGACTGATTTTTATTGATTGTAAACTTACTTGAGACTTGTGTATACATGGATATTGTGAACTCACCTGAGACTTGTGTATGAATATTGTGAACTCACCTGAAACTTGAGTATGGATATTGTAAACTCACCTGAGACTTGTGTATGGATATTGTGAACTCACCTGAGACTTGTGTATGGATATTGTGAACTCACCTGAGACTTGTGTATGGATATTGCCCATGCCAACTTGAGTGGAAGCTGTTTTCTGTTTATATAAACAGTTCCAGACAACTTGAACGTCCACCTTACTGGCCGTATCACTTCTTCTTCTCCAGAAACAAACTTCACCACAGGATAATCTGCCAAGTTATCATAATGAACATCATTCAACGAGGACTCTTGCTTACATCACAGGTGCTTGAGGACAGACCCCCCCCCCCAATTATAGACCCCCAGGCCTGTTCGACATTTTCCTCATAAATTATATATGGATGACACATTTGTGATGTAATCTATATCATCAAGTCGGAAAATTGGCTTAAACAAACATTTTATAAAAATTACTACCCCACTCTATATATATATAAATGTAGAGAGCGGGGTAGATTTTATTACATGTTTGTTTTAGGTAATTTTTCCAATTGTTGGTATAGATTATATCACAAATATGTCATCGAAAGATAATTAATGAGAAAAAAAGTCGAAAGGCCCAGGGGTCTATATCGGAGGGGGGGGGGGGGGGGGGGGGGGTCCTGTCCTCAAGCACCTGTTGCTTACATCACACCTTTTAATTCTAAATGATTAATGCATGCAATGAGAGATTAAAATGTCATATTTCAAATATAATACCAGATTTAACTGATTACCTTTCTTGTTTTAATTTGACTTTTTCAAGTTAACCCTCTAAATGTTTGACAATGTTATTGTTAATCTGGTCAAGTTCAACATCAGTACCTTGGTTCTTTTTATCGAATCCAACAACAACTCCACGAGCTCCATTCACAAGTCCCCTCTGGACCTCCAGATTTTTGGCCAACATCACCTAAAACGTGATAAAATTAAATCTAAACCACAGCTAAGTAGAAAGAATAATAGACTCCTATAATAACTATAATTCTGTACAGTTATGATGTGTTCATTTCACAGAAGGGTATAAACTAAATCCACAGAATCCTTTTTTGTCTTACAGAGATTTAGTCCTCAAATCCCTGCTTTCTTTATCAAGAAAATAAAAAATTAAACAAAACTGCTAGAAAACAACAAAATCTGTGAGAAAGAAAATGAACAATAAGAACAATTTATACCTGAGCACCAACTTTAAGGTTGAGTTTCTTTGGGACAGGGGAGAGAACTTCCAGCTGACTTTGATAAACTTCATCTCCATCCAGAGCTACAAATGTCTTCTCATCTCCTGTAATCATCAAACACAGTGTAAAACATTCAGTTATAGATGTCAGCTTTAGAAAGCTACATTCACAGATCTCCTTTAATCATCACAGTGTAAGACTTTCAATAAACTGTTATCATATCATAGGCTATTTTGCTATCCTGAATTTACTAGCATGGTTATCTCTGACAAAACACTGGATAAGGTAAGGCCAAAATAAAATAATTGTTTGTTTGAAATTGCCTCCCACTTCATTGAAATGACCCCTCCTAAAAAAAATTAACCAAATAAGTTTTTTTTTTTTAAATTTTATCAATTCTTGGCCTGTTATCACAGATGCCTCCCAAACCTTTAATTAGCATTAGATCTAAGCAAAAACAGGTTTCTTGGTTGATGGGAGTTACCTTTTACAAAAAGTAAAAAAAATAATGTGTTCCCTGCTTATTGAGATTTTTGTCAGCTGTTTTTAATTTAACTTCAATTTTGAAAAAAAAAAAGTTCTTTCCCTCCAAATAAACAATTTTTTAAGGAGGGCTTAAATATTTATATGTATTATTTTATAATACTGTAGATGTGCTTTTTTCGACGTGGGAATAAATTACATTATGTATGCTGTCACAAATTTTCTGTGGAAATTTGTCACAGCATACTAAAAGTGCATGTAGGACATACAATGGCAATCCAAGAAATTCATATAATTTTCTACCTTTGCAGGGACCAACCTAGACCAAAAATTTAGGGAGACTTCACTTCTCCCTCAGTGAAATTTAGGGAGAAGTTTCAAATTTTAGGGAGACTTCTCAGCGCGCGCAATGCGCATTAATTATTGAATTATTTGATTAAATTTTAATATATATTAAAACATTGATTTCTTTGTAGTATTCCATCATTCTAAGACTATTTAAGGAGACAGAAAATGTAGATCTTTAAACGATGTATTAAATATTTTTTATATTAAAAGTTATTAATTCATAGCATGAAAATACATTTTCACATAATCAATCTAAAAGGCTGTCAACTTGTACAAAATGAGTTCAGTATTTACATATGTACACATCAGTTCAAAAATTTAAGATTGAAAAAGTTTTCTCTTTTTCTCATCTTTCCAGATTTTCAGGGCCTTTGCAAAGTCAAAGTTTTCAATTGAAGGACCATCCTCTGAAATCCTCATTAAGTCATTCACTGAGTTATTATTCAAGTTTGTTCTTAATCTTGATTTGATGCGATTTTGGGTGGAAAACCCCCTCTCACAGGTAGCACTGTTCACTGGCAACAGTGTGCAACATTGAACAAGTTTGATGAGGTTTGGCAGGATATCCTCATATTCTGAACCAAGTTTCTCACAAACTTCACTCAAGGAAGACGTTGAGAAAGAGCCTATGACAAGTCTTTTGCACTGTTTGTATTCCATAGGCACTTGTTCCGTTTCTATTCCTTGGATAGCAAAATGTTCAGCTAAAACAGCTACACTCTCATTTCCAAATTTTGCTAACTCTCCTTTTTTGTGAGCTGAAGTGATGTGAAGGGGTTGTAACACTTGCATTTTTTCTATTAATCCACTTTCTTGAAATCTGTCTTTCAAATTTTTTACTATATTGTCTACATATTGTGGCATGATAGATCTGAGAATGTTTTTCTGTTGAGAAAAGAATCTGACTTGAACTCCATCATGTCCTGCCTCAATTTCTTCATCAGAGCTCTCAAATCCATCAAACCCATCAATATTGGTGTCAATGGCCTCTTGAACAACTGATTTTTTGCTTTCACTGTCAGGTCGATTGTACGTAACTTCATCCCCATCTATAGTAATAAATTCCTCCAGTTTATCTACATAAATTCCTTGAGCCTCTTTGAAATCGAGTAGAGCTTCACAGGTACTTTCCACTATTGGTCTAAGTTTACTCAGGTCCAAGTCCTTGGTTTGGAAAATACGGCTCAATCTACCCAGGAAAGGCAAAATGTCCATCAGCATATGAGTAATTGCAATAAAATTGTACTGGGAAACTTCTGCATGAATCCCCCTTGCAGCTGGGTTGGTAGTTCCTTCATGCTCTAGGGCTATAAGAAGGGCAGGGTAAGTCCTATAGAGAATTTCAACTGATTTCTGAAGACTTAACCATCTCACAGAGTGAATTTGAGCAAATTTCAGTGTAGGAAGGTTAAGCAGCATTTGGATTTCTCTAAGCTTATTTGATCGTAGTGCAGATCCACTGAAATAAAAGAAAATGTTTGCCACTGTATCTGAGTATTTTTTCAGTTGAGGAATACATTTTGATGCTTGTGAGGCAGCAAGGGCACATCGGTGTGCAGCACAGTGAATCCCTACTAAAGCTGGACTGTATTCTTTAAGCCTTACAATAACTCCATTTTTCCTCCCTGTCATGACACTGGCTCCATCAGTTCCAACACCAACAAGTTTTGACACATCTAGGCCTTTAACTCTCAGCTCTGTAATCACATGATTAACTATGGTCTCTGCATCTGCCTTGGGTGTAGAAATTTCTATATTGCAGAGAAACCGTGTTTCAAGTGTTTCAAGTTGTCTCTCCTGCAGGTAGTGAGCATAGAGTAAAAGACGCTTTCAATTTCCGCGGTCTGTGCTTTCATCCAGTGTTATAGAAAAAACTCCAGAGTTTGTTATATTTTCAACTAGATCAAGTGATATAACTTTTGCACATGCACTCTGAAATTCTCCAACACTTTTGGAACTGGTGTAAGAATTTTCTTCTTTCAGTGTTTGGCACCCCATTTCACCCATTAAACTAATGAAATTCTTCCTTAGGTAGCTCTCTCTTAGCAAGGAAATAAGCACATTTAATGTAGTGGGTGATGACTTGCTCATCTTTGTCAAGTTTACTGGCTAGTAGCTTCTGGAGTGGTTGCTGTTTGGCCAGTTTAGACTTTGTTATGGCAGTCAAATGGAGCTGAGCTGAAATAAAATTGTTGAAATGTCATTTTTATTAATTTTGTTTTTACTGTGAGCTTAATTTTTTCCCAAAGTATTCAATTGAAAACTTGCTAAAAATTATAAAGTTACTGTATGAAAAAAAAATACTGATAAAAATTATTCAGATAAAAACTATTTTGAGTGCAGACACTAAATACAAAAAATAAACTTTTAAGGTTTATCCCTCAGAAAGTACTCAAACGAAAATTATTTCATGCAAACAAATAAATCTAAAACTAACAAACAAAAAATAAATAAATAAAACAAAAAACTTACAGGATGCATGTCGCATATGGTTTGTTGTTTTTGCTGGTTTTTCGTGGCCTCGTGCATATGGATTGTCCATACCTGCAGCTCTACACAAAGTACAGTGCCACTTTTTTTCAGAATCCAATTCATACCATTCAAATGCATTTTGTGTAATTTCTTTGGCAAACTTCTTTCTAGGAGATTCCATTGCATTTTCATCTTGTAACTTTCGCTTACTTCCAGGTTTCGGCGATCCGCCATGCTTGTAACGACATTTATTCTTTTATGTTCAATTTTCTCCGGTGCTCGTTTATTCCCAAAGGCTTTGGGAATAAACAGAAATTGTTTTTTAAGGATTTATGACCCAGTGGAAAAAAGTAGGTTTACAGAATTTGCATTTCTTTGTGTTATATCCTCTCTACTACCCTGTTTTTTCTTGTATTTTGACATAACCTGTAGTTCTGTACAAGTATTTTGACATACCCTGTAGTTTACCCAGATGGTACAGGTTGATTTTGTTGACATCTTCTTTATGAGTACACAGTCTGGTTGCTAGGATACCATTCCTTTGAATGTTGTGTTGTGCTGTCTCTCTCAGTACTTGGTATGTTTCCTCACTACACCTATTTATAAATATACCTGTGATTAGACATCTTGATTCTGATAAATTTGCCTGTATTCACTAATCTTCAGTCTTTCTTTTCTGTCATTGGTATTTTCAAGTTATGTTAAAACCTGTTAGTGCTGAATTACAGAAAATCCAGAAGAAGATAATTATATATTTTTCTGAAATTGATAATTAAATTATTTTACAAAACTACATGTATATTATTTCAAAAATACTTTGAAATGTTTCTACTTTTGTTTTGTATATTAAATAATTATGTATAAGCATCTCTTACTTTCCAAGGCGGACATTCTGTAGAATGTTGATGAAAGAGATATCATTCTGACGACGCACTTCTTTCAGTTCCATGTTGACCTGAATGCACTTTGACCAGGATTTTGCCTACAAAAAAATGTATATGAATACATTTATATGCTTAATATAAATTATCAGTTTTATGCTTTATTTTCTTTCAGGTTCGCAAAATTTAAAATGTTCCGGAAAAAAGAGAAAGTCTTTTGGGGGTAAAGCAAAGAAAATTGTAACACAACATGCACAAGGAAACAGTGCACTTACATGTATACCTCTAGGTTGAAATTTGTATTTATGCTTAAAAAAATATTTAGAATGTCAAATGCCTGTGCCCACACCTTGAAGTTAATGCCTGAGCCCATACCTTTTAAGTTTTAAAGTATTGCTCTATAATAAATATAATGTCTACAATCAATGATGTTTATTTCATAACTTATATGATTGGTCTGTAATACTGGGGTCCACAGCCAGACCACATTGACCACTGCCTTATCTGAATGCCATGACTGACTATGAACTCTGACCTACTGTACATACTCGCCTATAAGGCGGTCCGCCTATAATTCAGTTGTATTTTGAAGCTTATACAAGAGGGATTGACCTTCTAAAATACCATATCTTTATATAACTCGCCTATACGTTGGACATAAAGTTTTGGACCAAAGTTTAACTCCCAAAAATCCGACTTATAGGCGAGTATATACGGTACCTGAAAGCAAAATGTCTTTTTCTCTGTTCCCTTGGTAACGGGAGGCAGCTGCAGAAAGTCCCCACAGATAATGAGCTGAATTCCCCCAAAAGGATTATCATTCTTACGGACCACTCTGTAACGGAAATATACACAAGAGACTTACTGATTCTTCGGACAAAAATTTTCCCATCAAACAAGACTTACAGTGAGGGTCATTGCATTTTTTTTTTAATCAATTTTAAATAAATTATATACTTCAAATGTATCCCCCCCCCAAAAAAGAAAATAAGGAGAGAAGGCAATTATTATTTTTTCCCTCCCCTTAATCACTATGCTAAATACTAAAGGGCTTATTGTACAGAACATGCACAACATATGTTGACTTCCTGTTTCCAGGTCAGTCTTACCGAGCTATTGTCTCCAGTTTGTCAAACAATGATCCATCCACCATTGAGATTTCATCAATGACAAGATGGTGACATTTCCTCCACTGCTGAGCAATCTGTGGCCGAGATGCTAACTGTACACACTGCTCAAGAAGGGCTGATCCAGAACCAATACCTAAAGATAAAATCAGGTTTTAGAATCATACAGAATCTGTAATTTTATCTTTTAGGTTTTCACACAAATGATATGAAAACACTTATGAGGTGCATTAAAAAATATTATGTATATACATTTCATTGATCAATGTTAGATCAAATTTTGGTTGAATAAAATTCTAATCTTTCATCGTAAACATTTATACTTTAATCATGTATGTACCTCACAATCACTATACTTTTTATTATTTGGTCAACAACCTGTAAAGGTATACACTATAATACTAAATAAAATAATCTGTAGTTATCTACCGAATACACCAGATATTTTAAGATGAGAAAATCAGATCAGATCCAAAAATTAGATTACATTCAAATTCACTAGTTTTCATAGTTTATAAATACCAATATTACCATGGTATATTAAATGAAAATCTTTTTTTTAAAGATGGATGAAACAAATACCTGACTCTCTCTTGTAACCAAATTTAAATACATATGCATTTAGGGGCAAGATCAAACAATCTATGACTCATGGAAAAAAACTTACTTTAAATAGTTAGGGGATGGGGTGGGGTGGGGTGGTGGATGTTGTGGTTAAAAGACAAACAAAAGTTTTTGTCTGATATTGATAATTACACAAAAGACTTTATATTAGTAGTTTTTGAAATGCTTCTTTACGAATAAACAAATATGAGTTATTTACAATATAATAAATATTAGTACATGTACTTAATAATCAAAGAATTAATAATAAAACTTTCTCTATTCTACTATCTAAACTCTTCAGATGCATGTAACTTAGCATTGTTCTTTAATGATAATCTACAAACCTGCAAAGGCATGTAATGTGGTTCCCCCTATGTGACAAGCAGCCACTCCAGTACTGGCTGTAGCAAATGTGTGCTGGGGTGGAAGAGAACCTAGGATGGAAAGTACATGTAAAAATAAAGATCTCTTCATGCTAATTGAACATTCAAATTATGTGCATTCACTATTAATTCAGAAATGTGGTCAATTACTTTGTTGTGCTTCCAAGGCCATCATAACAAAAAATGTTTGATGTTCTCCGACCCACTTTTTTCAAGGAGGGTAGGTATGCATTTTTTTAAAAAAAAATAATTTTCTACCACTTTGATAAGGTTGTAAAATCCCCAGACTTAGAGATTTTCATTATAGAAACCTGACAGCTAAACCGTTTAATTAAATGTCTATTGCTATAAAATCTTTTAATCTACAAAGCATCTTAGAAAAATGAAAGACATTAAATTTAAAATGGTACACATAATCTGTAAAAAAAAAAAAAAAAAATAAAAAGGAAAAAGAATTTAAAATACTGATAAAAAAGATTAGGTAAGGGCGATTATGATGAGTCGGTTGGAGTACATCGAACGACATCTTCGCTAGCCAAGGGTTTCTGATACGCTACTCTCCTCATAAGCCCTTGGCATACGATGTTAAAAAAAGTTGGGATTTTTTTCTCAAGTTGTGATTGGAGTTGATCGACACCATTCGACCAATCAGCAATTGTTTTTTGTAAATGACGATATTTGCGTTCGGGATATATCTTGACTCTTTAATATCGGGAGTGAAAAACGCAAGTAAACAACGATCCGTAAGACAACATGCCATTCTATGAATAGCTATATGGTGTCATCCAATATCTTAAGCTACGTGCAAAATATGTCATTATTAATAAGAATCTATACTGAGGCGGTCCTACTAAACAGAGAACCCTAGAGAACTCTAGAGAACCCTAGAGAACTCAAGGTTTATTTGGTGAATTCAAATAAATATTAGGCATAATTGGGTTGATTTTTACTTTAAAAATCATATTCTATCTATATAGTCAGTAATAAAGTTATTTTATGAATGTTTTCCGCCGAAAATAGTTGAAAAACGTAAACAGGTAGATGGCGAAATATTTTATGTCATCCCGATCTCGATGGAATTTCAAAAACGTTTATTATTAATTTTATCACAAGTTTACAATTCTTTTTCACATTTTTTTTTATTTAATACTATTTTTAAAGTTATGTATAACTCTTCTTAGCCATTCACTTTAATGTAAAACGTATGAATAAAATTAATTTCTTATTACTTACATAATGAAAGATATGATAAAAGTCTTCAGAGATTAGTAATCTGTTAAAATTATTCATAAAATGTGTCAAAATGTTCTTTTTTCAAATTTGATTTTGTTTTTGTTTGATATACTGGTTATCTAATACATACAAATTTCATTTACAGACCATAAATAATTCAAAAACATTAGGGTTCTCTAAGGTTCTTTAGAGTTCTCTAGGGTTCTCTGTTTAGTAGTACCCATACTGAGGATGTAGATTTGCATTTTAACATGTTTAAATAACAAATTAACATAACTCAATACCTTCTTGTTAATTATTCTTAAAAATACATTATTTTTTAAAATACGTTTTTTATTTCTGTCGATGACGCAATCTGTGCATACCTGGAAGAATCGTGATCACATGACGAAAACAATCCCGTCTTTTGTCAGCACCGTATGCCAAGGGTTTATGAGGAGAGTAGCGTATCAGAAACCCTTGGCTAGCGAAGATGATCAAACTAATCATTTTTTATTGTTGGTCCAAAATGCATACATATATATACTTGTGATCATAAACCATTACTGTACACTTTATCATTAAGTGACTATAGTTAGTTAAATAATTTACCAATTATTCTCCTCATCAGGAAAGACTTCCCTGTCCCTGCACTCCCTGTGAAAAACACATTTTTTCCTTGAAGGACAGCATCCAGTATTGTATTTTGTTCTTTGCTGAGTTTGACAGGCACAGCGATGGCTGATGGGTTAAGACTGCTGCACATGAACTTACTTTTCTGGACTGGTCGGTTTTCTTTGTCATCCTCAATGGATCTTTTCCTTTTTCCAACACCTTTTCCTTTTGGTGTAAACATATCAGGTTTTGATTCCAATTCTTTAGCCCTTGCCTCATGAACAGTCTTCAAGTCTTTGATGGTAAGTGGGCTGATTTCTTCAAATGACTTTGGCACATCTGACAGAAGTTTCTTTCTTTCTGATATAAAACCTTTTAGTCGTCCACATTCAAACTTGGTACTTAGCAACTTTAAGAAATATATCAATTTATCTGGTGGACAATTACTAATTAACAAATTCATGTTTTTGTCAGGGATTCTGATTGTTGATTTTCCATCCTTTGCAAACTTTTTGTGAATTCTTAATTCTCTCAGTGAAAATTTCAAATCTTTTTTCTGAAGTTCCACCTTAAGTACAACATCTCTGAATTCATTGCGTCCCACCGAGATGAAAATGTTTTTGTGAATGCTGGATTTCTGGACATCACCAGCTTTTGAAAGCTCTTCTACAGCCAATGTACACTGAAGTCTTTCCATGTTTGTATTTTCTAAAAAAAAAAAAAAAAAAAAAAATCAATTTACTCCACACATATTACTGACACTCCAAAAAGTGAAAATATAAAATCAACAGCAGGATTTTCTAAAATTTTGTTTTCATCCAAATTTGTCCAGTGAGAAATCAGTTAGAAAATTATCGAGATATATCTTTAACAAATGAATTACATTTAATTAATATGTAGATCCCAAAAGAAAAACTCACGAGTGAAGCACTTTCTGTCAGTCAGATTCCCAAATTCAAAATGTTTTCGAAATTACGTCACTTCCGGATGGTATTGGGTCCGTTCGCCCTATCTACCTGTTCGCATGAGTCCGTTCGCGCAAGGTCCGTTCGCCCTAATTCTGGTTCGCCCTATTTCTCGTTCGCCCTATATCTCGTTCGCTCTAATATATATATACATATATATACAGTATATAGTTAATATTATTGTTTATCATCATTTATGATTTATTTTATTTATTTTATTCAGTATTTTACGACTTGAAGTCGTGTTTTTTTTTCTCTTTTCCCCCAATGTTGACATAGTTAATTTGTTCTTTATTAAACTATTCAAATTTGATATTAATGCTTTTTACATGCTTAATTGGTTTAATTATACCTAATAATGTCACTGCAATTTAGGGGATCATATCCGTGTTTTTTTTTTAACAATCCGCGGTATGTTTTGAAAACAATTAAAGGACTGAGACGTTAATAGGCCCATTATGGAGCTGAGCAGCGGATGAGCAATAAAACCAAAATATTTACCGAATTTCTGTTGGTCTGCCGGGTCTTTGATAGGACAGGTATTTAGTGTGACTATGCATACGTCCGTTGTTTCCCATGTGCAATTTTTATTCCAATGTACATATAAAGTATTAAAAAAATCCATTGCTTTATTATTCAACTTTCTGCAATATAAATAGGGCGAACAGACCTTGGGCGAACAAGTTTTAGGGCGAACGGACTCTGGGCGAACGAGAATGAGGGCGAACGGCGTCAAGGGCGAACAAGTTTTAGGGCGAACGAACATACAACCCTTCCGGATAGTAATTTTCGACAAGTCGTTCGAAAAATAAACATATCAAAATTCAAAGAATAATGAAAAACTGCAATGTTATTTCAAACATTATTTTATGAATCAGCTGAATAAATGTTAACATCCAGGTTTACATGTAATCTAATAAAAGTTTGTGTACACAAAATACGAAAGTGAAAGTAGAGAGAGAAAAAATAAACAGGCCTCTACTGCACATTCGACAGTTTGAAACTTTGAGAACTGAATGATGCCACTTTGAATAGCTCTTTTAATTTAGATGTTGTGTGTAAGTTCTTAAAGTAACATAATATATTAATTAAGATATATATATGTATAATTTGACGATCACACGGTATTAATTTTGCCAGTATTTATTTGTAATACAGTTAACCATAGACCTAAAGCAAACACTTTGCTTTAGGTCTTTGAGTTAACTTATGTTAAATGTCGCTAATTGGTTGATATATATTTTATTAAAACATGATAAAACACCAGTAAAGTAAGCTAATGATTTGCAAATCAACAAGAAATCAATTTAATTCGATCCTTGACTTAAATATAATATATAAATATATATGTTATATGTTTATGCCCCTGTAGGCCCTGATTTAGGAAATAATTCCTGCATATATAGGTGGATTGTTGGAGAATATACCCCGATAGTTGAGAGATTTTGTTGGCAAATAAAAAACAAGCCCTAGGGGCGATCGAGGTTTTTATTAAGATTTGCCAACAAAATCTGAAGACTGAGGGGAAAATTCTCCAACAAATCTGACGACAAGTGAATTATTTCTATTCTGCTTTGGCAAATATTTAAACTTTGATAAATAAATGCAGAAGCTAGATTTGGACGTCATCAGGAGTGTCTTATGACATCACAATCGATTCCTCTACTCGACGGCTCATTCATTTGTATCTCAAGCATTGGAAAAAGTGTGATGTAATCTGAACCCAAAGTAAAAATTTTCCCACCAATTTGCATCACAGTAAAAAAAATACATCTATCTTTTTCCTAGTGAACACAGTCAAAATTAGAGGAAACCGATTTAAATTTATTGAGAATTTGTTGATGATGTTCATGATTTATAGGATAATAATGGCTGCTGCATCTCTTTGATCTTTGCGATAATGGTATAAGAATTGGTAATAAATGCTGTATTCAATTCTATTCTATTCTATACATGTCGCTTTACTTAGCACAAGTCATACATATGATTCATCATTCTCCTGGCAGGAGAGATAAAATCTCCCATTATTTCAACAACCATCTGCCTCTTCTGATTATTTTTCAAATTGTCCTTGTTTTGAAAATCTTTAAATTGAATTTGCTTTTACTTATGTCACAGGTGCCATGACATCATTTGGCTGGAAGAGAAAGCTTGGTGGGAATGTGTCCAAGAAATTGTCACAGAGTTTCCAGGACAACAGTAAAGGTCACCATGACAACCTAGAGGAAGTGGACTGGCTGACCTTGGCACCAAAGAGGAAGGTCATTTGTCTAGAGGACAGCTGGGCAAAAAGTGAACGTCTTAAACAAGAAGGAAGTCTACTGGCCGAATCAGAAAGGTAGAGTGAAGCACAGTATGTACGGAAACTTGAAATGTTTCAAAGAAAACAACTCCTTCTGCACATAAGTCATCACAACACTAGTAGCATTACAGATAAACTATGAGACTGAAACTTCATGAATGCTGCTTCAAAACCAGACTGGTCAAGTTTTATACAATAATTAGATGATTTATTACTGTACCTACTATTAATATCCTGATACTCACAGATACAAATTTCAGACACCACTACATACATACAGTACATGTATACAGACTGATATAGACACATTCTAGCCTAAAAAGAAACAAACTAATGGTATCCCCCTCCAATAAATAAACAATGAAATTAACTCCAACTCTGTTGTCCAGTCTTCCATAATTTAATTTTTTTCTCTTTTTTAACCACCTATTGTCCACCTATTGTGATAAGCACAACTTTTGTTTAAAAATCTGTACAAAACATATATATTTTCATGCATATGCACCAACAATCTTTCATGACCCAACTTATGTTGCAGTTTGAAGAAGAAAATAAGGTTTCCTTTGACAAGTTTACTAACAATATTAAGTATTTTTGAATGTGAGCGTTAAAATTTGTTTTCAGATATACATCATTGTCAAGAAATTTGTAGTAAAATATAAATCACAAGCTGATTAATTTTCAAACAAATTAACAAAGATGTTAATCCAAAGTCTCAAACAATCCCATAATGATAGTACTAACATTTATTTCTATTCTGCAAACAATGTATTCCAACAGAGTAGCCATATTTAACAGAGACATCCTTCTGTTTTTACCCAATCAGTACTTTGTGGTGTTACAAAAGTAAGGTGAAAATATCTTTTTTAATCAGTATAATATGAAAATTTTGAATTAAAGAAGTACCGATAATTAATAAATTTCATTGTCAAGCATTTTTTTTTAAGATACTTGCTTGCACCAAAACTGGCTGTGACTTTTGTTTATAGATACTGGGAGGCCATTTCTAAGTGGGAAGAGGCACTAGGACTTAATCCCAATGATGAAACTCTCCATGAAATGAGGGCTCAGGTTTGAACACTAACTCAATATAAACAAAAAATATTTTATAGACTTTTAGAGTCTTTTTTCATCAAGGAATCTGTTGTATTTGAGTACACATGCTTATTTTTTTCACAGTCCCACTTTCACATGCAAACCCTTATTTGAGACATTTACTGTGAACAGAATACGTTCTTCTCTTTATTATGACAGAGTTATTTGCTCCTGAATGAGGTTTACCCAGCAGTCCAAGCTGCCGTCAAGTGTACAGAGATCAACCCTTTGTGGTGGGTGGGTCATCAGACACTGGGGCGTGCACAGCTGGGTCTGGGAGATGTTGCCATGGTAAGTACACATGTACTGGTGTACAGTTGTATAAATAAATGCAAGACTGGAGTGTTTTACAAGAGTTATAACCCATATTAGATTTGCCCTAGTTTTAATGATATCTTGAATATTTTTAAAAAGTAAGAAAGAGGAGATAGATTTTACAGTTATGAATAACACTGATGTACATGTACATGTATATAATACAAATGTATTGCAAAAGTAAGGTGAAACATCAAAGCACACTTTAGCACTAAACATACTGATAAAAGAATGCAAAGATAACGAGTTCCATGGGCCACAATGATCACCTGAGTCAATATGGCCCTGCTATTCTTCTTCAGCAGTTTTTTCTTTTATATATTCCTATGTTAAACTTTAATCCCTGTTGTGACAACACCTTACCACCAGGTGTCATGATTAGAACAAACTTGAATTTACACTCTCAGAGGATGCTTCCATATTCATTTGACTATTCATGGCTTTGCTGTTCTTGAGAAGATTTTTAAAGATCTTTTTTTCCTATATATTCTTAAGTAAAACTTTGATCCCCCATTTTGACCCAACCCTACCCCTTGGGGTCAAGATTTGAACAAACTTGAATCTACACTACCTGAGGATGCTTTCATATCAGTATGATTAATCATGACTTTGCTGTTCCTGAGAAGAAGATTTTTAAAGATTTTTTTCCCTAAAAGATAGAGTAGATTCGAGTTTGGTCAAATCATGACGTCTTGGGGTAGGTTAGGGTCACAAAAGGGATAAAAGTTTTACATACTAGGAATATATAAAAGAAAAAAATCTGCTGATGAAAAACAGCAGAGCCTTATTGACTCAGGTGAACATTGTGGCCTATGGGCCTATTTTTTTTTTTTTTTTTTTTTTTTTTTTTTGGTCAGGATGAAATTTGGTTGCTAAAATTGTTTTTCACAGATATGCCACTTGAGAAATGCTTTTCTCAGTTATTTGGGTTTCAGGCTGTTAAAAGTTTTTCTCGGGCCATTCGTTTGTTCCCTGATGATGAGGAACTTTGGAAGGAGGATCTTCTGTGGGCCAAATCACTCCTGGACCATCAGCGAGTAACACAGGCAGAACAGTCCACAAAGGAAGACGGCTGTACTGTCACTGAAATCTGTGATCCACCCCATAAAGAGAACTGTACCGTCACTGAAATCTGTGATCCACCTCATAAAGAGAAAAGTACCATCAATGAAATCTGTGATCCACCCCATAAACTGACTGCAATCTGTGCTTCATCTCACAACATAACAGGAATCAGTGATTCATCAGATCAGGTGGATGAAACCTTTGATCATCCCCAAAAATCAAACAAAACATGTGATTCTCTCTCACACCAAAGTAAACATATATCAGATGCATGGGTTCAGGAAAATAACAAGAGCAACTTGGGGAGCTCTGAACAAGTGAAAGAAACTAAAAGAATACCTCAAAACTATGTCAGAATGAGACAGCATCTGTCCCATTAAATATGAAAATGAGCAGTGTTTTTTTTCTTCCTTTTTTGTATGAAAAATGAGCAAAAAAGATAGCTTGGATGCTGCATGTTAAAAAGATCTCTGAATCAGTGATTAGCTTATGATGGCCAAGAGACCTTAAATTCCTAAGTGATCATAATAAACATTGCATTTTGTATGACTAACAATGTTCTGGATGACCTATTTTACAGGGAAAGGATAGGGTTAATTCCACTCTAAAGTACTTCCTCAATTTATTCTAAAATGTATTGAATTATTGGGAAATTGAATCTGCCCTAGATTATGACATCAGTGACCAAGTGGGTCGGGATGGGGGGGGGGGGGGGGTCCCACTGTTGAGACAAAGATTAAACTATTTCTCAGCAAACTGAAGCAAGGTCAGTTGGATATGGTCCAAGTTACAGGGATGTGAATGTGAAACATTACCTGTTCATTAAGTGACAAAGAGGTAGATAATGATGAGAGGATATATCAAGACCCAGAATCAATGTCCTCAGAAAGGAGAAATGATTCCCATTGATATCGGGGGCTTCACTCATGGGTATCTCTGTCATTGTAATACTTACATATACATGTATAATCTGTGACAATAATGAGTTAACATGTATCTATTCCATGTGCCAATGAATAACACAATGCCAAATTTTACTGGGTGGTTTTCCTTGGAGACTGTAACAGCAGAACCAAGACCACAGTGAACAGCTGTACTCAGGAGATTCCGAGTATACATGTATATATAAACATTAAGACAGTTGAATTCTTTCTCTAGCCAATGTGCATTAATTTGAAAATTGATTAGAAATTTTAAAATATGTGTGGAATTTATTAAATAATTGGATTTATAATTCTTATTTAATGTCTCCCCTGTTAGTAGCACCATATGCCTCCTGAATAAGGTACCAAGTTGGAATTTATTTTTCAGCAGCTTCCCTGGAGGACTATAGGTTTACTGTCTGAACAAAATAATCCCATCAAATTTAAAATCTGTGTACACATTAAAAATGTATTTTGTTGACATGAGCCGATTTATATAAACAACAACTAAATGAATTTATCACAATAAGCCTCAAACCACAGTATCTCTACAGCACAACTGTAGTTTGAATAACTATTTTTCTATGGTTTCCACACTTTAAAGAAAGTAATGCTTTTTCAATGGTCTACTTTACAACCTTTGATTTATTAAGAAAATAGATTACTTAAAATAATATGTTATAGAAATTTGTAAAAAAAAAAAAAAAAAAAAAAAAAAAAAATACTCTACAGATTTTGTTATTGTTAAAACACATACATGTATTTACTATTAGTATAAGTTTTCATCTCAAGCCAGACTTATTTTATATTATCACCAAATCTTTTTATTATCTACCTTAAAATTCAATATAAAACATGAAAAAATTTAAATTCACTCCAAAATAAAATATGAATTACTCTAATTTTACCATGTAACAAATTTTTTGAATACAGCCACTTGTGTGTATAAATGGCACAGAAATTTTCCTAGTCTTGGGGACCCCGTATTGACAATATAGAACTAGTGAATATAGAGTTATGCAGTTTAAAAAAAATGAAAAACATTGACAAATTACTGTAAACCAACTTTTATTCGTGTGCGAGAAATTTCCACAAGTTTCGCGATCTACTTTAACTCGCGAATATTAATCGCCGCGAACCATTTATTTAGCTTTGTTTTCATAGAGAATATTTCCACAGTCGCGAAAATTAATCGTCGCGGATTGATTTCAAACTGACGAATCACGAATAAAAGATGACGCAAATAATAGTTGGTTTACAGTATCTTGATACTTGAATAACTGTTGGCAAACTACTACCGGTAATAAGTTTTAAAAAATTGTATAGTCGGAAAGACGTCAATGCTGTGTGAGGTGTATTTTTTCAGAAACTGTCATGCTATGTTTTTGATGTTATGGTGCTCCGTGGTGACAAAACCTGTTGATTTTAAAATAAAATGAGTTCCATTTGATAAAATAAAATGAAACTGCACACAACAAAATAAATTTTAAATATGATAATCTTAAATTTCTTAAAAATAAAATGATGGAGAGTTAACAGGCACCAAACTTGTTTGAATTTTTTACCCCTAGTATACATTATACTAGGAGGTCAAAAATCCAAGCAAGTTTGGAACTTGTGGAATGACCCTTGTACTTGGGCAGAAGAAAACACAATACTGAATACTGGTATCTCATTTTATCAGAAAGGCAGTGTATAACCTTCATCTGACCTTAATATTCATAAGCTTCCAAAAAAACATGCAAACTTCATTATGCAAATTAGCTTTACTATACCTGGTAAGTAATAAAAAAAAAAACAAAATACATCAAAAGGAAGTTTATTTCAAACTCTCCAGAATCAATTTATAGCACACAGACACAATGAACAATGAAACACATTTGATCCGTCATGCAGAGGTGAAAAATGCAACCATTCATGAAAATTCTTATACTATGCTATTGTTCCTTAAATAATTATAATCAATGATTTCAATACAACAACTATGTGTAGAGTATATTGCACTACTTACAATCAAAGACTAGCATTTCATTAATTTTAATAAAAATAAATATTACATTTAAAATGGTGGGCATCACATAAGAGTGGTACAAAAATATTTTGCCACCAGAGTATGTCGGCTGTATACATGTTAATGCTGTGTTCTGTAATACATGAAATATTACACTAAGTAAAAATATACTGATTATCCATGTCCTTGAACAAGAACTAAACATAAAACAACAGATCCATCATCAATTGTTCTACAAAACAGGAATTCACAGGGACATATGTACTCTGTATCTGACAAGAAAATCAGGGACATTTTACACGTCTGCCTTCCGAATATTATAGATAAATCTACTTATTAATGTAAAACTCAAACCACTTCCCAAAACAACTCACTCACTGTTTCCTTCCTTAATAAAAACCACAATCTCTAAAAAGGTCAATAATCTCAACATCTCTTATACATGTTTGAAATTACATGCACTGCAATCTTTCTGAAATCAAATAATGCAGTGTATTACTTCACTGAGACTCTTTGATAGGTTCTACACATGTACTCTAAACCCACAATTTCCTTTTCTGAGACACATATAGATTTTAACACATCTTAGAACTAGCAAAAAATTCCCAAATTTCTGCAACAAGTGACACTTCCAATTACATTTCTTGTTCTAGTCTTGTTATTTAAGTGTAACGAAGTCCTACTCGGTCTATATGACAGTGTTATTGCCATGCAGCGTGTCTCCAGAAGGGTATATCCTTCTAAAGTCCCCTAATACTTGTCAGTATAACCCTAACCCCCTGAGGAAAGAAGAAATCCCAACTATTGAATTTCTCTCTAATCCCTGACCCCATTATTTAAAAACCTCTGAGGTGAGGCCACACCCCTTGTAAGTTTCTGTACATACATAATTCCTGTCACAATGGATGAAGATAATACATCTACACAAACTCTTGGATAAATATATTCAGAAGCCTAGGAGATCTGGGGAAGGGAGATGTCCTATATTTCACAACACCAAATTTCATGTATCCTTTCTTTGTTCAGTCATTCTTTTTGTCTTCACGACTCTTCACTGGAATGTCCGAGTCTTTTTCTTCTTTCTTGGTTTCTGTGGCAACTGCTCGTCTCATGGCATCCCACATTCCTCCCATGAATATTGCGCAGAATAAGTTTTCAAATGGAGCAAACGGGTCATGGATGCCAAGAAGTAGGGCAGAGAGTTTAAAGTACACAAAGAAAATAACTACACCGAAATACACCAGGGCATGCGGGGCTGTGATGTAGTTCATCTTCTCCATCAGGAACACAAGAGATGCCAGAAAACAAGCCTTTGTAACACTGAAAATATAGGTCAAGGTCATAACTTAAAATAAGGAAAAATATGGATAACTTACAATAAGGAAAATATGGATAAAACTCATTTGAATAGGATGTTGATTAAATGTTCCGCTAATAATCTGTCAAAACACTATTAGAATGCACCAGGACAACAAAAGAAAGAACATATAAACAGATCAAAATCTGATATAATACTTCTTCAATACCAATAATCATGATATTTGGCTTCGACAACTGACATTCATTATTACATGTATTTTGAAATATATACAGAATTTCAAAATCTAGAATAAATTGTGTATTTTTTCCCTGAATAATGATGCACAAAACATTTTATGGACCTGAAAAACAGAAACGGACTTACAATGAAGGCTGCAGTACTTCATTTGTTCCAGGAATCCACAAACCTCTGACCAGTCTCTCAAACGTCTTCATCAGTCCACTGCCTGCTCCTGTAAAAGGACATAACTCATGACAGAGGAGGATAGAATTTAAAATTTTAAGCAGTTTGGATTATTGTATATTTTTATATATACTGGTAAAACCATGCACCTGTTTGATCTCACTGAACATTATCACTCTTTGTTTAAGCTAAATGTAGCAGAATGTACTTTTATTCACTGCATTTATTAAATAAGACAAACTGAAACTTCACAGAAATTAGAGAGTTCTCTGACAATCTGTGGAAATCTCTGTTTAATTTAAAGAAATATCCTTCCTTAATCCTACATTTTGTAACTCATTATTTTTTTAACAGCGAGTAATATTTGTGATAATCACGTTGGCTTGGTTGGGATGGTCATTCAGTGTCTTTGTCAGATATTTTACCTTTGATTGTCCCTACCTTTAATTGCTCCCACCTTTAATCGTTCCTGCCTTTAATTTTCCTACCTTTAATTGTTCCTAACTTCCTATCTTTAATTGTTCCTAACTTCCTACCTTTAATTGTTCCTAACTTTAATTGCCCCTACCTTTGATTGTTCCTACCTTTAATTGTCCCTACCTTTAATTGTTCTTACCTTTATTTGTTCTCACCTTTAATTGTCCCTACTTTTAATTGTTCCTACCTTTAATTGATCCTACCTTTAATTGTCCCTACCTTTATTTTTTCTCACCTTTAATTGTTCCTACCTTTAACTGTTCCTACCTTTAATTGTTCCTATGAGAAGAATGATGACAACAGAGTTAGGATACACCTTTGCTGTATAAACCACCCCATGATACACTTTGTGAGCTCGCTGCACTTCCTTCAGCCCCGCCACTGCCAATTTACATGGTAGGAATTTTACAGCCTTGTATACAATGTCAAATGGTGAATAAAACATCAAGTACCTGTAGGAAGACAAATAACAAGAGAATTAAATCTTCAATCAATTTAAACTCATCTCTGCAATGATGAAAGATAAATTTCAAGATCTGAAACAAATGCTTGCATGACTGACAACAAAACAGAAAAAAATGCTAAGCCTTGTGTGAATTTCTTAACAAAAGGACTTACCAAACAACAGAGGCAGTCAGCAGTGAATTGTGATCTTTGAATGGTGTTATAATAGGCTCTCCCAGTAAGAAGTTTGCTATCAGACTCCCAGCAAAACACAGCAGCATGGAGGAGACCCAGCAAGACAGTGGGTGCTTTCTGGAAAAAGCTGTACCCCCTACAATTATACAGACACATCTGCTAGGTCATTAATTTTAAATACATTCATATATACAATACATAGTCATAATATTTAGTTTTGTTCTTAATATACAGCCAGGGAAACATGTACTGCTACATAATGCTTATGGTTAGGGGAGCTGGAGTAGTGATGCACTCTGAATATGTTAAATTGCAGTTACAGACACATTCAATATTATTCATCTTCTGTTTTTATGTTTATTTTATTTCTGAAATTTGCATAAGATTGAAGTAAAGAAATAAAAAACTTTGTATTTCCAAATATTTCCCAGTTTAGAGAATATTTGTAGTATTTACCAGGAAATACCGTCATTCAACATTGGTAATTCCTGGCCAATCCTGACAGTATCACACTATCACTTATTAATTATTGGTCATTTGTATGAAGCTAGAATTCTTGATATATGAATGATATTCATCTGGTTATTCAACATGATCAATCATGGATTTGCCAAAGGGGAAATAATTTACTACTACCTTTCTTCAAATGACAAAATGTAAAAAAAAAACCATGTGATTAGCAAAGTGTTTTTCTTGTGTTCCTCACAAATTACTAATAATAAATGTTATCGTAACTCTTCACACCTAGTGTAATCAGAATTCTTCTGCAAGCAGATTGACATAATAATGTAAAGCACATGTATTAGATCTATTCAAGGAATGTTGTTACATCTGGTCAACATTTTGTCTGAAAAATAAGAAAAATTATACTCCCAGCAAATGTACACAATTCAAAACGCTATTAAATCCAATATGAAAAAAATAGCAACCGCATCCTTTTCAAATTATTTCTTACAACATGTGTACAATGCAAAATAAACAAAGCCCTATTCTTGTTCACCAAGAGCAATGAATTCGAAATAATGGATAAAGATTCTAGTTGGCATAAAATAATTCTACTAAAAATACTTATTCCTAAATAAGATTCGAGACCGCGGAAATTCAAATCGGACATCGGGCAATAAAATATCCTTATATGGGATTGGGTCAACTTACCCGCGGCGTTCGCAGGTGCGTCGTCCCGAGCTGCCATGCACATGAGCGTGTAGTGAGCAATGTCGAAATAGGGGTACATCTTTAACTTCGTCACCTTTGTGGCGATATCCAGGAACGTTTGCGGATCCATTTTGCTCTTTTAATTAATTCAACCGCTACCTCAGCGGTTCTCGAAAAGAAGACCGGAAGGTCGAAATCGAAAAAGGCACGTGATAACTCGTACTTAGTTGAGAGGTTGAATTTTAGCCTGCCGTACCCAGGAGGAAGACAGATTCATATATACAAAATTATTTCTCTCTTAAAGCAATATGAGCTGCAACTTTGATATCAGAATTTTTTATTGCAATAATGTAATTAACTATTTCAATGACAGACAAAAAGAACATTTATAAACATTTGCGGTGGAAGAACTATAATTATTATTAAGCTTTGATTGAAGCAAAATTACATTATTGTCGTTCTGTACAATATTGATTTCTTATTTAAACTATATAGGGTAGAGTGGGGTAATTTCGACCACTTTTGCTGATTTGTGGCTTTCAATCCACAAAACACGGCTGTTTTCAAATGTACTAGATCTAGTTAAAAAAGATTCAAAGTAATTGAGATTGATTTTTTTCTTCAGATTTTTCTGCTTTAGGAGTTAAAAATGCATAAAAAATAATGAATTGGTTTAAAAATAAGTAAGCATGTCGCATGGGTTAATTTCGACCGGCCTCGGTGTAATTTCGACCACAACAACATCAAAAAGAAAGATAACTCTTGCAATGCAAGTAAACTTTACCTGTCGCATTTTATTCAAAATTTATGGTCCAAGAAACTATATTGCTTATTTAGAAAATATGTGTATCTATCTCTATCTCTCTCAATAAACAGAGTAAAATGGATAAGTACTAATATCCATACAGTAAAGATAGGGGTTGGGTTACATAAGCTTTTCAATGCTGTCTTATACTTATAGACATCTTTCAAAATTCTTATTCTTTATTCTAAATTCTGCTTTTAATTCGCCAACTCTATAATTTAAAATTGTGATATATAGTTATGCAAATAGATAAAATTTTCTCAGATCCCACAAATAATTTCTTTGTTATGATTTGTAAATTCTCCAACCCAAAAGGAATTTTATTTAATATCGTCTTTTCACAACAGAATCATTCAGATTGTATATCTATGTATAAGGTTTGAGCATATAGCATTAGAATTGCGTATATTTTTTCTTCACTAATTTTTACCATATACACATTCATTTGGAATGCGTTGTTACATGTAATATACGTATTTTACGTGTTTTGTTAATTCTTAAGAGAGATAGATCCCGAGAAATTCGATAAGTCAATTAAATAAAGATTTACAGAAGCAAAGTCCTCTGATCCCCCCCCCCCAAAAAAAAAAAACCTAAACGCAAACAAATCATTTCAGTATTTCGTGTAACATCATAGTAGTTTTTTTTTGTTTCAAGATTGTTGCGGCTCTTTTGGTGTGTTGTTCTGATATTTTGGGTACTATTAGGATTTTTTTACCTGGACTGTGTGATACAATCTTAATACGTTTTCGATAGCCTCAGTCTTATTCGTCAAAGTTTACGCATTCGTAATAATGAAAAAAATTACAAAAACCTGATTTTTTTTTTTTGGACATATATTTAATATTGCCTGCACCCTCTCTTTTGTGAATTTGATGGGTTTGGAATCTTTAGGATTGCTCTCGTCATGTGTTAATTCAAAGCCAGTGCCGACTCCGTGTTCTCTCGCATCTCGATCAGTGATGCACCCTCGTGAAAGAACCTCGTGAACGGCCCGGACAATATAGCTAGGCATGCACATGTTAATTAAATAATCTGACATTTTTTTTAATATAAATGGTTATGTGTAGATAATATTATACATATACAGTATAATTATTTTTTTAAGATCTAACTCTGCATTGCATTAAACAGCTGTTGAAGACAACTTACACGTATATTTCAGAATAAGTGGTCGAATTTACCCCGCGTCCTTAAAATCACTAGGGGTAATTTCGACCAAAATCAAATGGACGTTTCTTGTGCATTTTGAGAGAAATCCAAGATAAATTTGTAAAATTCTGCAACTTAAAGATATTCCAAGAAGAAATAAAACAATTTTAATTTAACTCTTGCTGTAGACTGTTAAACAAGGTTAAACTTAAAAAGAGGTTGTACGAGTTGTCTCTCTTGCATTTCCTTGATCAAATCAAGCGCACTGAAGACTGGAACTTCGAACGTCAAACTGGAGACATAAATTATAGTTAAAAATATTATTTATATCTCTGATCAAGCCATATTTGCGATAAATAATTATACTACGACACACAATTTGAGGAATAGTTTTTTTTATAATTCCGAATAAATTAAACTTGTCTCAACACTTCCGTAGATCTTTGTGTGGTTTTGAGTTCCTGTGGTCGAAATTAAACGGTGGTCGAAATTACCCTGACTTACCCTATTCTTTTGTAAAAAAATCTTTCTTCTAAAACAACTTAATACTTTATTTTATTTTATTTTATTTTAAAGCTCATATTGCTTTAAGAAAATATCGGGTTTTTCTTTTTACCATAGATAAATAATTCATTCACTTAAACTTGAATGATTAAAAAATAATAATATTATTCATGCATTCTTTGACAACATAGCCCATATTTCTCTTAGCTGAATTTCGTATTGGAACTTGGGGGGGGGGGGGAAGGGGGGGGGGACCTAAAGCCAAGCCAAAGACATGCTTTTATGTTTCTGCTGAAGGGGTCCCGGGTTCGAATCCCGGTCCAGCCATACATTTTCTCCTTTCCTGTTACATTTCTTTAAGCTGAATTTCGTATTGGAATTTGAAAAAAAGGTGGTTTACCTATAAAGCCAAGCCAAAGACATGTTTTTATGTTTCTGCTGAAGCATATTCTAGAGGTCTTAATTTTGATATTCACTATCTCTAATTTTAATGGTCATATCTACTATTCATGAATTTCATTAATCCTATTACAATTTTTTCCCTTTATCAGTGTATACTCTCCTCTACTAGGGATACATAGACAGGAGTCAAATCTGGCTGTTTGTGTGAATTAGGGCGTTTTCCCACGTACTATTTATGTTAATATATTCAATTTATTTATCGACAACACCATCATACATTGGCATATAGTCATGAAAACAACAAACAATAACATAAAATCAAATATATGTTTACATACTACAAGAGACTGATCATGAATATGGGCGGGTCCAGGATTTTATCCGGAGGGGAGCTTGGGATACGACAAGTCACTTTTTAAAGTCTGTTTTCTTCAGATACAAATGGAATGCAAACATGATTATAATAATTATTTAGTGGTATCTGCATTTAAAGAAGATAAAAAAAATTGTATCTAGAATATCGAAATCTAGTTTTTCATAAGTCAAATTTGGTTGTTCTATGGTATAACATATGAACAGCCCCCCCCCCCCCCCCCCCCGGGGCAAAAAGGAGATGTTACAGCGAATCTTCAGTTCACTTGATCAATGCTAAGAAAATAAAATTGTTCTTTGATGGCTTTTTTCAAATTTTATCCTGTACTCTGCATTGAAGATTGATTGTCTTGAAGAAGGGACCATTCATAGTTTTTACATTAAATAATGCAGATATATATAGGTGATATCACTCATTCCATTAAGTGTTATCACCCATTCAAAACGATGAAGTGATATCAGCAATTTAAAAGAAATACGTTGTATCACCAATTCACATACTAGTAAGTGATATCACCTCTTTATTCCGAAAAGACGATATCACCAATTCCAAAAGGTAAATCATCTATTCGAATAAGGGATAACACCTACTCGGAGGTGATATCACCTATTCAATTCAAATGAGTAATATCGCTTGCATGTTTGATAAGGTGATATCATCTACTCGAATAGGCAATAAATACAAAAAACGGCGCCTCATAGACCAAGTATCGTAAACTTTTAAGGCAATGTTTATGCTTAAACAGGACTCATTATTATTGAAATAACCTGATTTTAAAACCTATTTTTCGTTGATAATAGTAAATTATTATTACTAATAACATTTTGAGTATAGAAGGGCACAACATGATTTTGTAGTCTGGCACGAATATGCATGCATGTATTCTGTTATTATTATTTTTTTTTGGGGGGGGGGGGTCGTTAGGGAAGTTTATTTTCAGCGATAAAAGTTGAAATTCTCGGCAATATATATAATAAACGTTTGATTTAAGATGTTAATCAACAGTATCAGGCATTTCGCCCCAAAATAATAAAACTTTTTTTTAATACTTTAAATGCAAAAACATTGCTGGATTACCGTTGTGGACGTTAAATTTTTAAGAGAGTTTAGTCTTAGAGTTGAAATCGATCTTTAAATCATTAATACGATGTAATATTGTAGGCGACATAAAAATACCCCCCCCCCAAAAAAAAAAAAAAAACATACGTATAATACATGTATTTCATTTTTGAATCAAATATGTTTTAATAATATATGACATACATCTAATTCTTATCTATTTTTTCACGCACCTAAGGAGATGATAATGGCAAAAGACAGCCTAATATTTTTTCTTCAGTAAAACCCCTTTATCTAGAAATTGGTCGAGTGATATATACCCTTATCACCTGCTATGGGGTTTATGTCTCCCAGTTGATTCGATTTGCAAGGCTCTACGCATGAACAATTTCTAAAACGAGGCAATCTATTGACAAACAAGTTGATTCAACAAGAATATCAACAGTCTCGTTTGAAGTCATCATTTCGCAATTTCTGACCTTGTCAGCAAATACAGTCTACCATTGAGTTGAATGCTGACTGACGTTTTTCATACTAATTGTTATAGGCCATTATTTACACTTCGAATTGTCCACGGATTTTTCCGTTTTTGCGAGCATGACAAAGAGCACACGGCGGGTTTGACCGGTCGACAGGGGATGCATACTCCTACATGGCACCTGATCCCATCTCTGATGTTTTAGAGGTCCGTGTTTGCTCTGCTCCCGATTTGTATTTTTTTGATGAACTTTTGAGCTTGATTACTGTTCGTTATCTTCGTGTTTAGTATAATCTACCAGACGCTCGGCTGTCTCTGTAATTGTCTACTTCTGAAACGAGCACCTGTATGAAGTCACTCATTTGCATCGATATTTATCTGCCATAAAACTTTACACATACATGTATATATGCCTAAATATGATAAAATAACCCTCTTCTCGGGTAACATCAATTTAGACTGCTTTGCGACTTATATATGTACACTCGAGGTATTTCTTGACTTGTCAATTTTTTAATGATAAATTTATGCTCCCCCAGCCTGGGTGTGACTTATGTATATCTTCGCTTCAGAAAATAAATAAAATCTTAACTTTCCTTTATTTAGTGAAGCGAACACAATTTAAGTCACACCCAATTGAGAAGAGAATAAAATTACCAGCAAAAACATTTTAAACACGTTCTCCTTATTATCATGTGAACAGCCAGGATACAACCATGATTTCAAATTCAGGACGGGTACATGTTCCTACATGTATAAGGGTATAGCGCTGTCAAATAACACAGGACATACCGCGGTAGAGAACAAGAAACTGGGAGCTAGGATTACTGTGTATTACACAGGGATCTCAGGTACCTAGTCATACTTACTTTTCTATAAATAATGAAAAAAAGACCCAACAATATGACCCAATCCTAGCTTCAATGGGTCGTGGATTAATCAAACTTGAATCCACTAATACATGGGGGAAAATGATTCTAAATGTCATTGTAACTTATATGGCCTTGCAGTTCTGGACAAGATTTTTTTTCCAAAAAGTTTTCCACTGAATATCTGTTTTATGTAAATCTCCAGTTTTAACTCACCCTAACTCTAGTGACAATAATTCGAATAAACTTGAATCAACTTGATATAGGAATGTTTTAATTCAATATGATTAAGTATCACTTTATTCCCTTATTGTGACCGCACCCTATACCACTGGAGGCCATAAATTGAATAAAGGTGAATCTACATCACATGTATATCATGAAGCTCTTAATGTTTGTATAACTCCACCAAACACATGTATTTGCCTTTTCTTGACTATATCTTCTTGGAAAGAGACGTGACATTTAATTCATTGGAACAAACTTCCCTGCACCCAAGTATGATACTATATACTTTGTGCCAAATTTGGTTGAAATTGACCCATTTGTTCTGGAAATGAAGATGTGAAAAAGTTCAATACAACGACCACAATACCAACGAGGACAGACAACACCAACGACGACAGATAAATTTTGATCAGAATTGCTCATTTGAGCAATCTAGTTACATCAATTCATTTCAAAAACAACACTGAGAACCCTAATAATAATAGATATAGGACAGGCACATGTCCCAACCACATCCCCCACCCCAAACAACTACAAATATACTAAAACCTAAATCATATTTTTAACGGATTTCAAATTCATCAGCTAATGCACGAGTCTTTTTTTATCATTAGTGGATGCGAGTACACGTGCATATTTTTCCCATATATACATTTTTATCCTCTAATGAAAAAATGTAAGTGAACGTTTTATATTGATGTTTACGATGGTCTATCAATAATGATAAAATTTTATCATTACAGAAGAATAATCTATTCACTAATGCAAGATTCTGCAAGATCATTTAAGTGATTTTATCATTAAAGGAACCTCACTACTGAGCTTATCATGCTTATTCCTTATGGACTCAATCTAACAGTGACCACAGACACTATATAGCCAATAAAGCGATAAAGCTCTAGATTAAAAAAAATCTCACTTCCATAAATATATAAATGTATATGCAGAGTGGTAGTGATGTCTTAATCTAGGGCTTTATTTGCTACTTTTCGATGAAAATCCAGGTGCCTATGTTGCCGTGAAGTGTGTGTGTGTGTGTGTGTGTTTGTTGGGGAGGGGGGGGGGGTCTTACTTTCCGGAAATGTTATAATTACCAAGTTGACTTCAATTTTAGCAATCGTTGGTACTTATCCCGTTGTTACTTACTGTTGCAAAGTTTTGTGGTTTTTGTAGATTTTTTATGCCTGTGTTGTTTAAAGGCACGTTCCAGACTAAAGGACATGAAAAGTGAATGGGAAAGTGATATTTCTAAGTGGTAAATGTTTGAATTTTATCTACGAAGTAATTGCATAGTGGTAGAATCAGGAATAAACAGTGACCCCGCCCATCTGCTAACCAGCTAAACTGGCAGCCGTTAGTAGATTCTAGTGATCTGATGAGAATTCGGAATCTTTTTTTATAATCTTTTATCGAATATAATGGAAAGTCCAGTATCTATTAATCAATCAAAAAGCTCAAACCCTTTTCTTATTAAAAAATACGAAAATAATATACAACATCCTCACAATGTCAAGGTTTTGTGATTTCGGAACTCCACACAAACCCTTGACATACGTCGCTATTTAAAAGTTGGGCTAGAAAGCTACTATTTCGTTTGTTCCTGGTCTAGGACTGGAACCAATCAGCTTTTATTGTATAGGTAAGATTTGTAATTACTTGTCTTTCAAATGGAAAGTGTCGATATTGTAGGATTTGTGACTAGTTAACATTAAATGAAACATCAGGGATTAATCTTTGGAAGATCGTCCTCCTAACAATCACAAAACATATGCTCTGGAGTTGGGCCATTTGAAAACGACGGATTTGAAAAACATATTCTCATTGGTTAGTTTATAATTACCCATTACGTCATGTGTAACCACAAACCCAACTTTTAAATAGCGACTTATGTCAAGGGTTTGTGTGGAGTTCTGAAATCACAAAACCTTGACATTGTGAGGATGATCGAATATAGAACAGAATGAACCATCTTCTATTCTTTTGCCACATGGAGCAGCCATATTGTTTCACAAAAGTTAAGATTATATCAAGTTGTATAAAGTTACTTCAATTTTTACATCATGTTTATATTTTTTTCAATCAGATTTATCATGACTATTGTAATCAACAATTAATTGACATCTGGCGAACTTTAGCATCAACTTTCAGTTGTGGGCAACAATCGAATCATCAATAGCATATTCAGTTATTCTTGTTTTCCAAGTGTTTTACTGAATAATATTTTCTTTTGTTACTCCCCCCCCCCCTTAAAAAAATGGTAAAGTGTCATATTTCTGTTGTAAATAGTAGAATACATGTACAGTAAACAACTTATAAATTATTTACATGGTTTAAGTGTTTAAAATGTTACTGAAAATTAAATTTAAGTCAGTCAAAGGGGTTACCACTGTCCACCAAGAGACCAGAGTCAGTATGTGTTAACTCTTGTAAATGCTCTCTATTAACTCACACAGTGTCCAAGCTGGATATTGTAACTCAACGATTGAAGCAAAAGCTGGTCTTTGTTTTTAACTCACTGCATCTTAAAAGATACCTATATATGTTTCAAAGTAATATTAAAATATTTATGTGTATTTCAGAAATACTAGTTCTATTCCAATATGCTCTTGAGAAAGAAATGGGTAACAAGAATTCTGCAGGTAATCTTTTTGCTTTTCCATGTGTATAATGACCTAGTTAAACCAAAGTATCAAGACTTCATGTTAAAGATCAGGTGTTACTGTTATCATGTCTCTAAAAATCTTTTAAAACAACAACAATAACCACCCCCACAGATGTTCGTATCTGTTGAACTCTGCATATTACAATAATAAAGTAGACTTAGCACCTTCTTCTTTACTCTATATTATCATGATTATGGAGCATTTGAAGAATGCATGGTCTAATATTTCAAATGACCTTTGATTTATATTGAAGATTTAATTCAGGTAATATTAAAACACAAATCATTTAATATTCAAATGCTTCATTTTCTGTATCAAAAATTAACAAGTACTGGTACATGTATTTGTTGATTGGTGCTGCAAAACTATGACAAAGGAAATCCAGCAATGCCTTTTGTTAATATCTGGTGTGAGAGAAGACGATATTGTATAAATATTACATGCAATACTGAATATTTTATATAAAGATATATATCAGTGAACCTTGTGCACATATATTATGTGCAGTTAATATATTTTTGGAATATCAGCTGTCGTCAAGCAATGTTGCCTGTTGCTACTTTCAATCATACTGGAGGGTGTGGTTTCATCATTCAGATTGTAAAAGTGTTTTCAAACAAATGTTTCTTGACAAATGAGATTCAACTACAGTCAAACGTTACATCGTTATCTCGAACAGAAGGGACCGAGAAAATACTTCGAGATATCCGAGGATTCGAGATATCCATGGTAAAATACTTAACGAATAAGCAGTTGGGACTTCAAAATGACTTTGACATATCCATGGTATTCAAGATATCCGTGTTTGAGAAACCGAAGTTCAACTGAAGTTTACATGAAAGTATAAATGTTTATGATAAATGATATTCTGAGACACATAAATACATTGAAGTGACAATCAGTATGTATAAAAAGATGACAGTGAAAGAGAATTTGATGTGAAATAATTCTGTTGTCTTGGTTACAGGGAGGTCTGCTGCTGATACTGGTTGTGACTGCGATAGTTAACATTTCATTTATAAAGCAGACCCATCAGAGAAACCTTGATCAAGGTCAGTACCAGGGCCCCGAATTTGACAGAAATTTCTATTTTTAGTAACCATGGCAATACTGTTCAACATATTCAAAAACTGATAAATAGACATGTATTTTGTAAGTACTCTTGTACTAAGTTATATTGAAATTGGACTGAAACTGTAGGAGGAGTAGTGTTTTGGAAAAAAAATTGTTTACAGACAGACAGATAGACAAACAAATAGAGGGATGGATAAATAATGGACACCTTACTATTACATAAACAAACATACAAACAGAAAAAAAGAAAAGAACAAAAAAAGAAAAAAAAATCAGCAAAATAAAATTTGTTGTGACAAACACTCTGAATGTGATAGAAGAAATGCCTCTTGGATATTTTCTGTATCTTCTCTGCCCGAAGTTTTTCTCTAGGAAACCAAATAAAGAGTATATTTGAATGAACAGATTACCAAGTAATAATAATATCTGAATTAGTGTTTTTTTCCTCAACATTTAACCTTACTACCCCTGTGGATTATAATGAGATGGATTTTTTCGATTTTCTAATGAAGCCGAAAAGAGATCCAAGAAAAGAGAAACCCCAGCCGTCTCCGAGAAAAAAGACGAAGAGAACCCCCCCACAGAGATATCACTCGGTGTAACGTCAAGCAAGTCCCTGGTGTTAGTAACAATCAATGGAAACACGGTGTGTGTTTACAACAAAATAGTAATTATATTGGATTAAAAACTGAAGAATTGACTTGATAAAATGTCCTATTGTTATTTTCTGTTTGACCAGAATGCATAACTAATAAAACAATAAATTCCTTAAGTTTTAAGATTTGTACTTGGTTTTAAAATTTTTAGATGTGAAGACCTTTGTGTGTTTGTTTGTTTGTGTGATAATTTGTTCAGTATTTTATTCCTCTTATTGTCCCCAGGTTTACCAGGATGACGACTTCGATGTCCACAGGGGAATCCATTTATTGGTCCTAAATCAAGCAACAGTAAGTATGGAGTTTAAAGTCTAGAGCTTATCAACATGATCAATTTCTGAATGAGTAAGAACACTGTTATCAAGTCTAGGTCACAAATTATCTACTTTTGTGACAAATATATGCAATATCAGATGCAAATATTAACATTTAACCATACTAACTATAAATATACATGTATTAGTTGCATGGAAATGTCATTATTTGTGTCTTTAAAAAGTTTTGATATTGCACACAGATAGAAACTTCCATGAATTATTATTTGGGATTTTTTCTTTATTAACATATCTCTCACCTGTTCATTTTGAGAGTATGTTTTTTTAAATTTGTTATTTTGTGTTTAGGGCCATGTAATGGCAAAACAGGTGTTTGATACGTACAGCGCAGGAGAAGACCAAGCCATGTTAGACTTCATTGACCGCATCTCTAAAAATAGAATCTTAGTCTTCACCATTAAAGTACGTATCAGGAGAATAGTAGGGCATACATGTACTACAAGGTTATTTTACTGCTAGACAAGGGAGCAGGACTGGAGGATTCTCCATACAAATTATTCATACTGCTTTGTCATGAAAATGGTATTGGTGATGACTTGCTACTTTAACAAGAGTATTAATAAGCTTGAATAAATTGTATACATCTGTCTGAAATAGTAACATATTTATATTTAGGTAAGCCAGATCTTGTTCAGATTATTTTTATTTCACAAGTCTCTCATATTAGGATCTGATCTTGCTGTATGTTAGAATCATACAAAATACAAATATGTGTGTATTTGAATCATCATCATGTAGATCATACATTCTAGTGTATAATCAGGTCTATCACTTTATTTTACTTCTTCAGGATGAGGGGTCATTTCAGCTAAAACCTGAAGCCCGGGCAGTCCTGGGCAAGATGGGCAGTGTGACAGTAGAGAAGCTAACCTTTAGGGACATGTGGATATTTATCTGCTTCAAAGGAGGTGAGTACAGAGCATTGATTCAAGAAAAGATTCAGAAGATAGTTTAAAAGATGCACTCAGAGAGCATTGATTCAGGGAAATATTTAGAAGCTAATTTGAAGGAGGCACTCAGAGAACATTGATTAAGGGAAAGATTCAGAAGGCTAATTAAAAGGTTGCTTAGAGCAAAATTTAAATGAAAATTTGAGAGGAAACTGAACTTAAAATTATTTGGTACTTTTACTGTATGTATCTTATTACAGTGAAATCTGTCTAATCTGACACCTGTGTAATCCGTTTCACTGTGAATTCCAACCCTTATCTAAGGCATTCCCATTTGACTGTTTTCGATGTTCTTTATACTGTGTACCCAGTCTATTCTGTCAGAAAATTTGTTTCCCAGTGTATGTTGGATTAGACAAGTTTCACTGGAATAAGTTGAGAAAAAATGACTAATTCGTTTTTTTTTTTTGTAGTCTGAACCTTTTAAGTTAGTAAGCTCTGTATGTAAGATCATGATTCATTGAGAATAAACTGATTGCAGGTGTTTTTGTTATTATTGTCATGAATGAATTACAATACCTGTGTTGTACTTTAAAGTATACTTATATGTACAGTCAAAACTTGTCATCTGAAATTCAGTGGGGCCAAGAAAAAACTTTTAGATATCCAAGAGTTTGAATTATTGAGGTTAAAATAAAGGTGGTAGGAACTTTCAACTCACTTTTGATGCCTTCCTGTACTTTTACAATATAAATGATATTTAGGTAAGGTCATCAGTGAGCGCCACAACAAGGCTGCAAGTATGGGAAGCTGGGGAGATCGAATTACTGTCACGGAGGTCGTTAAACTGGTTCCAGTACAAGGTAAGGAGTTCAACTGGTACCCTTACTTACTTCCCATATTTGATATGATTTGAAAAGTGTGTCAAACTGCATTAGAAGCAGTTTCATTAATGTTTTCCTTAGTTGAATTTGTTAGGGAAACCTGAAATAACATTATTCCCTTATTAAATGGATGGTAATACAATTATTGGTAGATTCTAATTGTCCGTGGACAAAGACTGAGCCTAAGAGACAGGCATTTTGTGAGAAGATGGAGGGGTATGGTAAGGTTTGTGACTGCCAAAATCCTGACCCAATCACATTCCATCCATCAAAGGTAGGACAAATTCCTATAAAGCATATAATGCTTGCATGCATTTTTCATGTACATGTTGTTCATGGACTTAATATCATGAGTCCAACATTATTATTACATTTTTCTCAATTACACAGACTGTGGTCTAACTTGCCTGATATGTATATCATATATATATATTTTTTATATTATGGTGGAATAGTTGGACAAGGATAATTTGGAGAATGTGGCCATAACAGTGATAGCTAGCAACAGACCCCAGTATATGTACAGGTGAGGGGTACAGGTGTATACCTATAAGTTACCCAGAGTTAAATATGAGGGTACAGGTGTATACCTATAAGTTACCCAGAGTTAAATATGAGGGTACAGGTGTATACCTATAAGTTACCCAGAATTAAACTGTTTTAAGTTGAACAGCAGATGTACACAATTTTCATGCTAGAAGTTTCTGAATTCTGGTGCCCCATGATTTTTTGTTTGTAAAAAATAGAGTATTATATTTTAAATACTGTACTTATTTTTTCAGAATGCTTATCAGGCTTTTGTCCACAGCTGGAGTAAAGCCAGAAATGATCACTGTTTTTATTGATGGATTTTTCGAGGTGAATATTTGTTTACTCTGCTAACAAGTAAATGTGACTTTAGTTGGACATGTTAACATGGAATGCCATTAACATGAAAAACTACTTAATCCTCATCAGATAAATGATGAAATTTGAGAGACCAGGACTTTTTTGAACCATGTACCCTCTTCATATCTCTGGAAATGAAATATAAATCAACATCTTATAATGGCATATAAACAAGGAGGGAACATCAGGGTACATGTTAGAACTGTTATGAACTCCCCATAGAGCTTTTAGCAAAAAAAAAAAACCAAAAAACTCCATGCCTAGAAGATTATAAATGTTAAATAATTCACTATTACTGTCAGTGTGAAACTTTGACCAATCAATGACAGTGTATGTATTTTTTCCCTGTAGGAGCCTCTTGAGGTGACGAGACTCCTAGGATTGAGGGGGATTCAGCACACGCCGCTGGGGAAGAAGAATGCGAGGGTCAGTCAACACTATAAGGCCAGTCTGACCTCTACGTTTGACCTTCATCCAGTGAGTACTCTTTCATTGTCAAAGTATCATCCTCAGTGTATTCTACACTTGTAGGTAAGACTAGAATTGGCTTTGAAAAGCAGACAAATTTTGATGTGAATCCACTTTAATACAAATGTAGGATAAAGATATATAGATGTTAAGGCATTGCAATTATTGGTGAATATATTTTCAGTAATCAAAATTTAATTTGTAACTATATTCCAAGAGTTCTGTATCAGAGTATCATGCAGTAGATCTTTATTACAAATATTTTGTATCTCTAATTAATTCCTTACAGTGGATGAAATTAGTACACGTTCCTTTTCAGTTGTATCTTGTATTCGTTATAGAGGTGTATAAATGTGTGTCAGTCAAAAGCGATTTAGAGCTTAAAATGTCTTGTTATGTACAACACTATGACTTCAAATACAGCTAACAGTCTAACATGTTCTCCTTTACTCCACAGTCAGCTCTGTACACAATAGTTATAGAAGAGGACCTTGATGTATCACCTGATTTCTTTAAGTAAGTGGATTATGTGACAAAACTAAATGTGTCAACAGAACCTTATTGTGGCATTATTTAATTATTATGTTCATATAAAGTAAGGTAAATGTTGAATGTTATTTTGATATAACAAGAGTTTGTTTTTTTTCCTCAGTTATTTTAGTCAGACAATCCATCTAATGGAGAAAGATGACACTCTATACTGCATCTCAGCATGGAATGACCAGGTAGGCATAGATATTGTATTGTATTTCAACATGGATTGACCAGGTAAGCATTGATACTATAACTTATCTCAGAAAGACTAAGTAGACATAGATACTATACTTTATCTTAGCATGGAATGACCAGGTAGGCATAGGTACTGTACTGCAACAATGAATGTCTACCAGATGATTATCTTCCATATATACATGTACTTTATTTAATAGTCTTTCTTGAAACATTGAAAAAATAAATGCCAGTAATGTTTAATCTGAGAATGAAAGTTGAGACAGATTAATTTTTTTGTATTAGGGATACTCCCATTCTTGTAAAGAGCCCAGCCTTCTCTACAGGGTGGAGACGATGCCTGGTCTGGGGTGGCTACTCAAGAAAAAACTGTTCAAAACAGAACTGGAGAAACAATGGCCATCCCCCGATAAAGTAAGAGTAATGTTACTTCAAAAACATCACACATGAGACATACACTCATACAATCAGCCTGTTTTCTCACACATGAGACATACACTCATACAATCAGCCTGTTTTCTCACACATGGTACATCACACATGGGACATACACTCATACAATCAGCCTGTTTTCTCACACATGAGACATACACTCATACAATCAGCCTGTTTTCTCACACATGGTACAACACACATTTTTTTTGTTCCATGCTGTTGCAAAAGTGTGGGGACATTAAATCTCATTTTTCCACCATCTGCCTGTCTATCTGTGGATCTATCTTTCATTCTGTCTGTGACAAAAACTTTAATTAGTCATGACTTTGGAATGAGAGAAGATATGGCTTTCATACATGTATTTCACTTGTTTATTACCTGTGCTTGGAACTTTCTGAATGTTCCAAGACTTTTGACATCCTTACATTGACCTTAAAGTTTGACCTGAAAATTTTACACATTTTAAATAATTTTAATCTTGGCCATAATTTTGCACCAGAACACATTACTTAAAAAAAAGGTAACACTTTTAGTATCATGGACAGACAGAACACAATATGCCATAAATCATTGCACCCCAACCCTGATTAGAGCCTGAAAGCAGGGGACCACAATACGTTAAGACAACACCACACATAGCTCAGAAGTTTGTAGGAATACAAATGAAAAGACAAATTTTTATTCTTATATATTTACATTTGCAAATGTTTTCCCTTATATAACACTATCTAAGTAAGGCATATTTAATTCTATATACATGTATTTGCATTTGCTGTGTTTTTCTGCTAAGCCAACTGTGAAATTGATTTGAAAACCGTTTCTGTGTATACTCACGCATAGAAATATACACAGAGAAACTTGCGCTAAAGTGACATCACAATGAGGCTACAGAGGCGTTAATAGAAATATGACGATATAGGGCAGGGAGAAATTCAAACATTAAGTGTGTTTTTGGTGCATTTAAACATGTAAAATGTAAATAGAAGGAATGTTTTTAAGTTAAGTCTGACTTCCAGGTAGGCATATTTATCATGAAGCGCTAGTGCGTTTCATGAAATATGCCTACGTGACAAGTCTGTGTGATTTACACACCAATAACTTACACAAAACTTAAAAACATTCCTTAAGTTAAAACAGGATCGTCACGTGTCCTTAAACTCATTGTTAAATCAAAACGATTGACATAATTTCACAGTGACGATGTAAATACGGGTTGACATATGATCAAATCTACCATAAACCCTTCGGGCTTTCTGGTATTTGATCACATGACCAACCCGTATTTACATCCTGATAAAAGTTTAAAAATGATACCTTATTTCTTAAAAAAATCCTCATCAGATTTTTTTAAGCCCCACTTTTAAAGCAAGGGGGGTTATGCCCAAATTATTCTGAACAATGTAGATCATTATCATTTATATTTCCTGTCTGGATTATATTTCCTCTGAATTATAATTGTCTGGATTATAATTCTGCCTGGATTATAATTCTGTCAGGGTTATATTTCCTCTGAATTATAATTGTCTGGATTATAATTCTGCCTGGATTATAATTCTGTCAGGGTTATATTTCCTCTGAATTATAATTGTCTGGATTATAATTCTGCCTGGATTATAATTCTGTCAGGGTTATATTTCCTCTGAATTATAATTGTCTGGATTATAATTCTGCCTGGATTATAATTCTGTCAGGGTTATATTTCCTCTGAATTATAATTGTCTGGATTATAATTCTGTCTGAGTTATATTATCTGCTGAATTATAATTGACTGGATAATTTTTATGCCCCGGATCGAAAGATCCCGGGGGTATATTGTTTTTGTCCTGTCTGTCTGTTTGTCTGCTTGTCTGTCTGTCTGTTGTCAACTTTAACCTTGCCCATAACTTTTGATTGGTTGGAGCTATGACTTTCATATTTCACATGTGTATTCCTTGTGACAAGACCTTTCTTTGGGTACCATCATATTTGACCTTTTGACCTTGGAGTTTGACCAACTTTTGCAAAATTTTATGAGACTTTAACCTTGGCCATAACTTCTGAACAGTTGGAGCTTGGGGTTTCAAACTTCACATGTGTATTCTTTGTGACAAGGCCTTCTTTTGGATACCAACCACTTTGACCTTTTGACCTTGACCTTGGACTTTGACCTACTTTTAAAAAACTTTAACCTTGGCCATAACTTTTGAACAGTTGGTGCTTAGGGTTTCAAACTTCACATGTGTATTCCTTGTGACAAGACCTTCCTCTGGATATCAACCACTTTGACCCTTTTGACCTTGACCTAGGAGTTTGACCTACTTTTGAAAAACTTTAACCTTGGCCATAACTTTTGAATGGTTGGAGCTAGGGCTTTCATACTTCACATATGTAATTCTTGTGACAAGACCTTCCTTTGAATACCAACGACTTTGACTTTTTGACCTTGACCTAGGAGTTTGACCTACTTTTGAAAAACTTTAACCTTAGCCATAACTTTTGAATGGTTGATGCTAGGGCTTTCATACTTCACATATGTAATCCTTGTGACAAGACCTTCCTTTGGATACCAACCACTTTGACCCTTTGACCTTGACCTAGGAGTTTGACCTACTTTTGAAAAACTTAAACCTTGGCCATAACTTTTGAATGGTTGGTGCTAGGGCTTTCATACTTCACATATGTAATCCTTGTGATGAGATCTTCCTTTGGATACCAACCCCTTTGACCTTGACCTTGACGTTTGACTTTTATTTAAAAAACTTTAACCTTCACCATAACTTTTGAACAGTTGTATCTAGGTCTTTCAAATTTCACAGGTGTTTTCCTCGAGACAAGATCTTTCTTTGGGTATCAACATTTTTTATCTTTTGGCCTGGATTTTGACTTGCATTTGAGAAACTTTAACCTTCGACATAAGCTACCATACGGGGGCATAGTGTTTCACAAACACATCTTGTTCCTGTTTACAGCAGTGGGATTGGGACATGTGGATGAGGCTGCCTACCATGAGGAAGGGCAGAGAGTGCATCATCCCGGACATTTCACGGACATATCACTTTGGGTCCAAAGGACTCAACATGAATCCTTATTTCCAGGAAGTTTACTTCAAGAAGCATTCCATTCTGAATGAGTCCAATGTCATTCTGAAAGATTTAGACAGGTAAACAAAGCAACGACAGGTAAACAAAGCTAAGACAGGTAAACAAAGCTAAGATATGTAAACAGAAAGACAGGTAAACAAAGTCAAAAAAAGGTAAACAAAGCTATGTGAAAAGCACCACTGCTAAAGTTTGTCAACTGACCACTTACAAATTAGTGTTATTATGAGAACATAACCACTTTTTGAATATTGATTAGGATGACATCAGAGAAATATGAGGAGTTGATTAATGAGATTCTGAAGACAGCCAAAGTGGTAGACCACACCAAAGACCCTTGTGATAGTAGCCTCATTCCAAAAAATCAGGTAAAAACAAAATACAAATCTCATTTCTAGAAATAAAAGCATGTGAACATGAGATACAAATCTCATTTCTAGAAATAAAAGCATATGAACACGAGATACAAATCTCATTTCCAGAAATAACAGCATGTAAACACGAGATACAAATCTCATTTCAAGAATTAAAAAGCATGTAAACACAAGATACAAATCTCATTTTGAGAATTAAAAAGCATGTAAAAGTCACCTCCTCATTTCTGAAATGTATAAAAAAGGAGAGAAAAATGAACACATTTCATTAATTACTGACTTTATTACAGTAGCTCACCTGAGCTGAAAACTAAAAATAAATTTCAAAATCTTCTTCTCAAGAACAACTTGGCCAGAAAAGCTGAAAATTATGTGGAAGCATCCTGGGGTAGTGTAGATTTTAAATTGTTCAAATCATGACCCCAGGGGTCGGGTGGGGTCACAATAGGTATTACAGGAGGGAAAATCTGGTGAAAAACAGCAGGGCCAAAGTTACTAAGGCAAGCGTTGTGGCTCATGTGCCTCTTGTATAACAAGCTTCTGAGAGTTTTGCATTAGCAATACTAGTCCCCTACCGGCAAGTGTAATCTGGTTCCCGTTAAGAATTGAAAATGCCATAATTCCGTCAAATATTAATGAAGCGGGACGAAATGCAAACTTGTTCTAAAACTAATCAAGGTAAAGCCACATACCAAAAATCAGCTCAATATCTACAAGCATTTAGAAGAAAATTGCGGAAAACCCGTAAAAATTGAAAAGGCCGTAATTCCGTCAAAAATCAATGAAGCAGAACGAAATGCAAACTTGATCTGTAACTCATTAAGATACACCCACATACCAAAAATCAGCTCAATATCTGCAAGCGTTTAGGAAAAAAGTGCAGAAAACCAAGTGGGACAGACTGACAGACAGACAGAGGGACAGACAGACAGACAGACGGACAGACAGACAGACGGACGGACAGACGGACGGACAGACTCAGAGGAAACCTATAGTCCCCTCCGGTTTCACCGGTAGGGGACTAATAATTACATATTTGATTTTTTTCATTCTGTCTAGGACACTGTCCATGTGTTATATATACTTTTGTTTTATTTAGGACACCGTCCATGTGTTATATATACAGATGCAGCATCCCACAGACTTCACTACGTGGAAACAACTTGCCAAGGTATGGTGCTATATATTATGACAGCTCACTAAGGTATGGTGTTATATTATGACTGTCACAGCTCACTAAGGTATGGTGTTATATTATGACAGCTCACCAAGGTATGGTGTTATATTATGACAGTTCACTAAGGTATGGTGTTATATTATGACAGCTCACCAAGGTATGGTGTTATATTATGACAGTTCACTAAGGTATGGTGTTATATTATGACAGCTCACCAAGGTATGGTGTTATATCATGACAGCTTACTAAGGTATGGTGTTATATTATGACAGCTCACCAAGGTATGGTGTTATATTATGACAGCTCACTAAGGTATGGTGTTATATTTTGACAGCTCACCAAGGTATGGTGTTATAATATGACAGCTCACTAAAGTATGGTGTTATATTATGTCAGCTCACCAAAGTATGGTGTTATATTATGACAGCTCACAAAGGTATGGTGTTATATTATGACAGCTCACTAAGGTATGGTGTTATATTATGTCAGCTCACCAAAGAATGGTGTTATGTCATGACAGCTCAACCAAAGTATGGTGATCATGACAGCTCAACCAAAGAATGGTATTATATTATGACAGCTCACCAAGGTATGGTATTATATTATGACAGCTCACTAAGGTATGGTGTTATATTATGACAGCTCACTAAGGTATGGTGTTATATTATGACAGCTCACTAAGGTATGGTTTTATATGAGAGCTCACTAAGGTGTGGTGTTATATTATGAAAGAGCTAAGGTATAAATGCTTGTCAAGGTTTTTGCATGAGGATTTGTTATAATAGCTTGATTGCCAACTTATTTAGCTCATTCTGTCTTTATTTTAGTGTTACCACCTTTGGGATCTTGATGTTCGAGGGCTTCATAAGGTAGGATCAGTCTCTTACAAAAACTTTGTAATGATTTTAGATCTAGATATTAATTGTTTTATTCCAAACTAAAAACAAATCTGTCTTGAAACATTATTAACATATGTCATATATGATATTGTATATCGCTTCTTTTTAATTCAGTGTTTATTTTGTGCATATGTGCATGTTTATCAAGGTCATATGAAAATATGAAATTTATACCATTATATCATTTTCTAGACTTAAAATTTTGAAGATGTTCAAATTGAACATAATTTATATCTACTATATTTAATATGTATGTATATTGTATCCTAGAGTAAATAGAAATATCAAGAATACTTCAGTCCAAATAAAATCTTATTTACTTGTATAACAGAGCATGTGGCGACTTTACCTCAATGGTACACCAGTCATGTTGGTAGGAGTACCTCATTCTCCATATCAGTAAGTCTGTCTATCTATCTGTCTATCTATCAGTCCAGCTGTCTGTCTGTCTAACAATCACTTTGTACCTCTGTCTACATTGTATAAATCCATACATTCTGTGTAAACTCAATTTTAGGATAAGGTATAAATACATTTGTAAAAATGAAGAAGATGATTATCTTCTGATATTTTTTTAAATATACAATCTATGATATTTATGAATGAGGAATATTCTTTTTAGCTGGCCATAATCTTTTTTTTGATTTGTAGTACACATAAACCCAGCAACGTGACACCATTTGTCCTTCAGGAACCGTCAAAGAAGCCATGATGGTAATATCTAGAACTCGGTTCTTCCACAGTCTACAAATCACCATACCGGTGGAAGGAAGAATTTTGTAGCTTGTGTAACCATATTGTGTGTAGCCATGTCGATATCAAGCACAACTCTACACAGATGTCCTAAAATATGTAGATGATGGCGACGTGCTGCCATGCCTCTCTTTGTGGAGGCTTTAGTTTGTCATATATTTGATTAATCCTTGTGGTATTAATTGATTATTTTACACTAGTAATTATTAGTGTTACAAGAATTTTGCCTTATTTACACGTATTTTACACTAGTTATTATTAGTGTTACAAGAATTCTGCCTTATTCATTTTACACTAGTAATTATTAGTGTTACAAGAATTCTGCCTTGTTTTGTGCTATAATGTACTAGGCCACTTCTGTTGAGGCTTTATTATTTATTTTGAATGCTCTTTAGGGGCATTAAATAATATTATACAGTGTACATTTCTTTTTTTAACACTGAACTATAAGTGTTGTAGATTTTGCATCTTATTTTTAAGATGACAGTTTTAAGAGAAATCTGTGTAACAAATATTTTTTTATGCATTTGCTTTATTTAGGTAATGAAACCTGTAAAGCCTGAAAAACCCTTATCTTTATTATCAATTGTTATATCAGAGTTGTTGATTTGCAGGTGGAATTTGCCTGAAAATTATTAAACTGCAGGTAAAATTTACTAGTAGTTTGTACGTTTGAAGTTCATAGCGTATTGCGTGCTTGAATTGTTATGCAATATTTTGAATTGAACTGATTAATTTTTGATACAGATTTGTGAAGAGATTGAATAATCTCATGTGTTTAAATCTCAACTAAGAAGCAGATATTCTAGTCAGAAATCTTTTATATTTATTATGTTTATTTTTTGTTAAATCGTTGTTCTATACTTTCCAATAATGTTACCTAAGTGTCACCCCCTCGGCATGAAATGCTGTTTTTTTTCTGCGTACACCTGTATTTTACACCTGTTGGTTCTCCTGATATGTATATTACTGCTGTTATTTTTGAGTCATAACACAGGTTGTGAGTTAACATGTTAATCTATGCAATTTATTTTGAAACTGTTAATTTTTGAGAGAGAGATATTTTGTTACATTGTATATTTTCCTAAGAATATTTTTTTATCTCATTTTTTGTTCTCATTATATTCAACTTTTTCCTTTTTGAAATTCAATATAAATGACTCTTCCTCTTCTGTTCAATAAATTGATGAAGACAATAATTACACTGGTGAAATGGCTAATTCATTTCCACACTGACCACCATTTGCTCACAAAAATAATTGAATTATGTTTTATCAAAGATAGTGCTCAAATGTCAACTTCAGTATATTTTTGGTGCAATAGTTTTACCCTTTAATTGCTCCTGAGTTGATGATTTAGTCATCTATGTTGCCTTGTGATTCAGTATTATGAAAATCTTGAATGTGTTAGTCTTTGCAATAATACACTTAACATATTTTTACCTCATTTGTTTATTCAACAATCAACAAACTCAGAAAGGTACAGACCAAAAACTTGCACAAAAATCAAATTAGTTTCAGGTCCATTGTCTTATTATATTTTAAGTTGATTTTACAATAATTTAAGTACTTAGTAACTGTGTTCAACATTTAATACTTCAACTTTTCCTGAAAAAGGAATTTTTTCGTTAATAATCTAGTCTTAGCTGTAAATTTTGCTGTCTAGTGAGTATTTATCAATTAGATTTCAATAAATTGTTATAACTTTAAAATATTTGTTTTTATTCAATGTGTGTATGGCATGGACTTTCTTTCAAATGAAGATATTTTACTTGATCACAAGATCATTGTCAGTTCTCAAGGAGCAGGGTCTGCTTTGATGTCAACAAAACCATAAATTCAAGTTTTTTTTTAAAGTGCAGATACTTGTGGCTGTCCCTTCACTGTCCTCTGAAGAACCCTGTCCTTGGATTTTTTGGACGAAAAGTCAGGATGAAACATTGGTTAAACAATATTTCATGAGAACATTTTAAAGTATAGCAGCTAGTAATTACATAAAAAGCTTGAATTCGGAAGCAAACTTTTGAGAAACTTTTATAAGCTGTTTCCTTTTGATAATTTAAGATAAATATATGACAATAGGTTTCTTGCTTAAAGATGTTCATACTCTGTGAAATAAAACGCTCATTTTATTAAACTGTCAATTATAGGATATGCACATCTAATTTTTTGCCAATACAGGCTCGTAGCAACGGTTTTAAAAGTCGGGAGGGGGACCATTCCAAAAAATCTGACGAGCCAAAAAACAAAAAACGTAAACTATCTATACCCGAAAATCCTATTTCGTATGTATGTATGTGAGGTGGGGGCCTTTCTCTAACTTTTAGGTATATTTTTTTTCTCAAATGCTGGAATTTGCGAGTGCTCGACTTTACAGGAACAAAGAGTTTGGGAGAAGGGGGGGGTGCAGCACCTAAATGGAAATTTACATGAAAATTATAGCGAAAGACTGCTCAGAAAAAGTACCCCACCCCCACCCGCGTTCTACGGACCTGTAAAGAAATAATTAATATTCCCAGACTTTTCACATTAACTATATTGTTAGTAAATTTGACATAGAATGTAACTTTTTTTTCTCCAAGCAAATAGTCCCTAGGTGTAAGGAAAAATTCAGCAATTCATTTTTTTTTTTTTTTGGAAAGAAAGAAATCATCCCGCTCGTACACTGATCAAAGATATGTTGACAAGGAAAAGATAGATCACTTGATTCACAGTTAATTGTGACAAATTAATGTCGCCATCAGATCACAGGGAGTCCGCAAGATCTTAATTCTACAGCAACAATCATTCAAACATCCATTTAAAGTTAAAGGAATTGTGTAAGTAACGCGACCTTATGAACAAAGAGATTTTTTGTTTGCGAAGGAACATGTATGAATTTGACTTCAATTAGTTAGTTGATTATTTTTTTTTACCTACCTTTAGTAGAAGAAAAAATTCTTAACTACATACATTTTCACATGTACATGCATGTATATTGCCCTGTAACATGTTCCTTCCATTGTGCTTTCTCCCAATTCTTGCCAAGGGGTCAAACTGATGTCTGATTGTAGTCAGCACCCCCCCCCCCCTCCACCCCTATTTTTTTCCTATATACATGACCATTCCAATGTAAAACTTTTATCCCGTTCCGTGACCCACCCTAGCCCTATAGGTGAGTTTTTACATGTTTTATCGTATTGTAAATTTTTGAATTTACCTCCCACTAGTAAATTCAAAATTTAAAACATATGATATTTTCACGTCAATTTAATTTATCTGACATCTCTATGAGTTCCAGATGGAGATTTTCCCTAGATAGATTCAAGTTAAAAAAAATACACAAATTAACGGCCTCGTATCCAGCTCAGGGGTCAAGTTTTGAACAGTTTCTTGCAAAGAAAATAGCATAACCCTATTTTCACTACATGTATTTCTCCCGTTGAAAAGGCCTGAACAAACTTAAATTTCCTTCATCCGAAAATGCTTTGGGAAGTTTAGTCAAAAATATTTTTTTTTTAAAAAAAGAAAGAAAAAGTTAGGGCAACATACGAAAGGCTATTTGATAAGAAAAGGCCACAAGAGCTTTCAGCTCAGTAAAGTTATGTTATATATTTATTTGTCAATATAATACAAGTATTAGTTAAACCTTTCTTTTACTCTTTTGTTTTGTCATGGTTGTTTTACTCTGGTTGAGATTTACTTGTCGTGAGAACTATACCACTGCCATTTAGATTTAAGTATGAGAAAAATCGGTCACATAAATTCCCTTCATATGCACGGAAACGAAACACTCAATTCCTCGGTTGTCTATAAAAAAGAAAATGCTATCATAAGTATTTCTCAGCTGACAAATGAATGTGGGCGTGTCTTGGCATTTTTCTGTGTAAAAATAAATTGTCTTAATTTAAATATATATTTGATATTCGATTTACTATTTTTTTTTTATAAAGACTTTTATATTTATACAGCTGCAGTATATTATAAAATTTTGACGATAACATCATTCTGGAATGATTGCCTTTTCTTTTTCCTCTAATCACAGGTCATTGAATTATTTACTTAATTTAAAAGGAATCAATTGAGATTTATGTTAAATGAAGCTTATATCTTATTTTTAACCAACCTTCCATTAAATTAAAATATTAACACGCACCGTGACACACATTATCATCATCATCATTTAGTTGAAATTTGAAAGGTAAAAATGTTAACAATGAACGTTGAAGAGAGTCACCCTTTGCCTTAAATTAACTTGGTATAGTCCATTAACCCCGTGTCACAGTCCATTAGTGGACGTGGCTTCTATAGAGGGGTGCCAATCTAATGGTGATACAGTAACACAGTAAACGCGAAACGTTAAAGCTGACATTGTAAGATAAACAATCATGTTTTAGCCGAGAATAGCATGTCCCCAAGATCGAACAATAGTTGAAATTATATATATATATATATATATATATATATATATATATATATATATATATATATATATATATATATATATATATATATATATTTATCCCATGTTTACCCCTTTATCCCGTGGATATGACTCATTGGATAATTTTTTCATAATCCACAGTTGTGACGTCACAACGGTTTTTGCGTTAGCGCGATGAAGTAAAATAAAGTGGAGTCCTATATAAAACAGTGTAAAACATTGGTTGTGAAGTATATAACATGGGATAAAAAGAATCTCCCATGATTTGTAGTTGGATATGACTTTTATCCAACTCGTTGTGTGTTTTTATCCCCTCGCCAAGGCTCGGGGATAAAAAACACACATTTTGTTGGATAAAAATCATATCCAACTACAAATCATGGGAGATCCTATATATATACCACAATGAGACATCAAAATTCTACAACAGAAATAACCAGATTCCAGTATTTACCTGAATGTATTTGACATTTTCTTGTCAGTTATATTTCATTTCTTGGAAAAAGATTACCAAATTTTACGAATTTGTAGCACAGGTGCTTGTGGAATTGCATAAAATGAATCGATACCAAAAATAGGTAGATTTCACGGAGCCTGTTCTTTGATTTTCGGGTGCGTGTTTTAGGAATTGACAGTCTAAAAGATCTCCCACATCTGTTGTGTAAAATTATAGGTAACTCCCAATTTTCAAGCTTCATATATAGGGTAGTAAATTCTGATAACTGATATTATTTCCCGTTTTCTGTTTATTTTTGCAGACTGACCCTCTACCGGTATATAAAAACACTAGTATTTTTACATACAGTAGAGGAACAATTTCCAAAATTTAACAAAAATGGGGAATAATATCATATATCATCGTTCAGGCAGGTTATGCTAAGAAAATCATATATTTTGCATAAGTTATCGCGCCTTTAAATATTGTCAGACCATTGGGGATTTGCTACATGTTTGGTATAAGCGGTCCATTTGGAATTGAGCATAGTTAAGTGTATAAAATAAATTCAGTGAACAGTCCATATAGGAATAAATTTCCGGGGGGGGGGGGGGGGCAACCAAACAGAAATTCATTGGCAAGCAAAAATACACAATAATAAAAAAACCAATCAAACAAAAAAGGTCATCAGACACTTTTAATAACGACCATAACTGTAAATTAGTTTTTTTCCTATTGCATAGTATATATTGGCAAATATCACGGGACACGGCCATCCCCTGCCCCCTCCCGTGGTTTCTACAGGCCCGGTGAAATATTAATCCAAATGTAATTCTTAAATGAATTGTGAACAATAATTCATATTATGTTTTATGCTGTTGAATTAAGACCCGGTTTGAAGATCAAAATTCAACGATTCGGCTCAATTTTCAACGGGCTAGGGTCTTTATTCCACACCGCTTGTCTCAAAATTCAACGTTGAAATGAGACCCCCGGGGTCAGTTTTCAACCGCGGTCAAAATTCATCGTTACACCTGCCCATCAGACCAATATATGTCACATTAGTAACAATATAATTATGTATAGTGTAATTACAATTATACAACGGGTATCCATCGAGGTGAGTGAGGCACTCTTCACCAATCATATTTCGGAGATTCTGAGAGTTGAGCTTCACATCGTTTAATAAGAAGAGTGCATACAATTTTATTATGAAATGCTTTATAAAAATTGGATACACATCAGATTTATTATGTTAAAGCAATCTTTCAAAGCATGTCTCTTACAATTAGTCGAAAGTCAAATTCCGGTTGTTTTTTCTTAAAACAAGATCCGTACCTCCAGGCTTTAACAGGTAAATGGGAAGAGGTTAATCAGATATTTTGAACTACAGTCTTGAATTCAAAACGTACATATTGAAAGTAAAATTAAGTATACCAGATAACAATAATACGTTCTCTCTCTCTTTCATTATCAAAGATAAACGGGGGTCCCAACCCCCTAGAAACCCCCTCTGGATCCGCCAATGGTAGAGATAGCTACAGTACCCACTGCGGGGAACTTCTTTTGCAAAGGGAACAATTCGGCCTTTTCCGTCAAGAAATCACTTGACGAAAACGGCCGAAGACGCCATTTGATGAGAGGTAAAGATGGAGGACTCTATACCTCAAAATATGTAAGTTTTATATATATATATATATATATATATATATATATATATATACAATATGTTAAAAAAGATTTAAATTATTCTTCGACTTTAAAAAACTGTACATTATTTGATACATACAAACACTTCCTTAGTTTTGATTTCACCGATGATTTTAGTGCAAATCACCAAGCTTGACGGTTGTTCTTATTTTTTAGTCATACGAATCTTGCTAGATATCTGTGGAAAGGGAGAATCATTTTTCTTCCAGATGTTCTTTTTTTAATTTTGTCCTTTACATTTTATTTTTCTTTTCTTAAAACACCATCCTATATAGAATTGCCATTTACTCTTTCTTTATTTTTTCTATAATATGCATTTTCAGTTTAGGATTGCTATATTTCAAATTATTCCAAATTAAAGCTAACATTTTCATTAAGAGAGAGAGAGATAGAGAGATTGACCTGTAGATGCCAATTTCTTTGTTTCCAGAATATTTGGTATCCATAGGACAGTATCTGAATCGGTGTTTCTTGGACTTTGTGGAATTATGGGCACGTCAGAACAGGTCAAAATGAGGAGAAGTGTGAAGGAAGTAGGGGAAATACTAGGAAACCAATCAAAAGCAATGGATGATCGCAGTGTCGTGAGGGCTGGCAGTTTCAGTGAAGGATTTAGATTACCAGGATTGGATAGAGACGCCATGTTCTGGCCAAATGACCATCGGATGATCTGGGACTTATCCCAGACTCAGTATTACCAAACGCCCATCCACAAACTCATTTTAGCCCTCTACTCTGACAGTCCACCAGGGTACACGTTGCTTCAGTTAATGACACCAACAAATAGAACTGAGGTCTTATCAGCATGTGTCATTATAAATAACAGACCCTATGTATCAAGTTCTTTGTACAGGCATATAAATTGCTCTAGGGTGTTTCCTAATTCTACAATTCATGGACCATGTGGTAGCGGCAATATCAGTGGATATCTGGAATATGACACTGCTCAAGGTTTTGCTTGTGATCTTTGGCCCCCTTTGGCCTACAGTTGGGTCGACAGATGTCAGTCATGGCCCAAACCTCACGTGGTTTATGATATTGTCAGAAGTGGATGTCACGTTGTACCAATAGGCCACAAACTTGGACGTCATGAAATCAATGAATGGCGAATCTCATTCTGTGTCGCAGAAATGAAACTGGTGTCCTCTATGAGCCACTGTCAGTTCTTGACCTACGGTTTGTTGAAGTTGTTCCTGAAAGAAGTTATCCATCCTAAGACTGGTGTATTACTTTCTTCATATCACATGAAGACGGCGGTTTTTTTGGGTATAATTCAGCTACATCCCCAGTGTATCTGGTGTCCTCAAAATCTCATTGAAAACGTTTGGGTCTGCTTTAAACTTATCATTAAATGGGTGTATGAAGGGGTCTGTTCAAACTTTTTCATTCCTGAAAACAACATGTTTTTAACAAAAATCTACGGCTCAGCAAAAGAAGTCTTGTTTCGTTACTTATACGGGTTCTATGAGAGAGGAACGGTGTCCCTGTTAGACTGCCCCTCCGTGAAATGTATCCTGATGAATGTCCTTTTTCATCCCAGAATTATTTCTACAGACGAATGCAGTTGCATCTCAGAGGTTATGTTTGATAAGGAACTATTCACGGACATATATAACATTGCTTCACTCCAAGCACCAACTTTTTGCGTTTGTTTGTGGTACCTAAACACAGTTCATCAAATGTGTGGCTTACAGTTAACAGAAATTCAAGCTCTAACGCTGCAGTACATTACATCAACCGTCTTACAAAGTGCTGCATTCATCTTACGCAACATCTTAATCAACCCAAGGAAAAATAAATTTTTGTACTTAGCAACAACAAAATCCTGTCACATGACCAAAATAGCCTCAAACCTTGGTTTCGTCTCCGACTTGCTGTACGTTGCAATGCATTATTATAAGAGTTTCAGATTCAAAAAAGCCTTATCAGTTTTAGAAATTGCACAGACCAAGTTATCAAGGCCATATGTAATGCTTTTGCTATCCTTAAATACGAGTTATACAGAAGCTGTAGGGGGGCAACCTTTGTTTAAAAAGATGGGACACGCTATAGCATATTACATCAAACTTAGTAATAAGATCTGTTATATCGATGAGTTAATAATCGAGCAACAAAGTAGTTTACAGAACCGGAAGTATTCGTTAAGTATCCCACACATCGTCCTCTTGCGCATGCTCCAGTTCTTGTGCTATAGACATTTTGACATGATGAAAGCACAAGCAGTCTTAGATAACCTTCAGCATCTTCTCCTAGAGCACACAGTGTGTATACTGAACACAGACATAGCTTGGCAGATCTTGGGAATATGTCAACATGTCACCGGAAATTATAAAGATGCTATAAATTCATACAAACGATCCCTCAAACAAATACCGCACCACAAAATAAAAACTGCTACCTACAAGAGGATAAAAGAAACGCTACAGTGCTGCGACCTAACGAACATGGATGGTCCTTTCTGTGGATCAGCAACACTGCTTCTACAAAAACGGAGAAAATCTTGTTGAGAATTACAGACTTCTGATGTCATCCTTCAATTTTAACAGTTTATTGGAAACTTTTAAACTGTCTATAATTAATATCAATAGTTTTATTAATTGTGTATTTTATAAACAGACTGAAAGATATTTGTTGCTTTACATGCATTACAGCTGACATATGTTGTAAACAGAATAGAATTAGTAAACAAGATTATGTTATTTAGGAGAAATTGATTACCAACGACTTTTGTTTTTTTTCTGTTTGACCCAATGAAAAGGAAGCTATGGATAATTAAAGTGAAACATGTGGAGATAAGGGACACTATTCGAGCTCAAAAGTCCATTAAACATTTCAAAATAAGAGCAGAGCAACCACGAACCTCTAAAACTTCAGAGGTGGGATAAGGTGCCATGGAGGAGTGAGCATCCCCTGCCGACCGGTCACACCCGCCGTGTGCTCCATGTCATGATCGGGGAATAACGGCAAAATCCGTCGGCAATTCAGTGTGTAAATAATGGCCTAACAAATAGTATGAAAAAAGTCAGTCAGCATTTGTCTTAATGATAGATTGTATTTGCTGACAAAGTCATTGTATCAACCATAGAACTTACGAAATGATGACTTTAAACGAGACTGTTGATATTCTTGTTTCATCAACTTGTTTGTCAATAACTTATCTCGTTTTAGAGATTGTTCATACATAGAGCATGCTCTGGCGTATCGAATCAACTGAGAGATATAAACCCCGTATGCAGGTGATAAGGGTATATTGCTGCATAAGTATAGGAAGTTGACGATTGAAAAGTTAAAGTCATCACGTTTATCATAAAGCTTGGTTGTTAGATTACCATTAACGTCTTTTTCTAATAAAATATCCAAATATGAAACAGATGTGTCAGATCCTGTGGTATCTATTATCTCAAGGTCACCGGGGTATATCGTGTCGATATAAGAATGGAAATCACCATTGTTAGACAATATACGTCGTCGATATATCTAAAGTTCGAGTTGAAGGCCACAACAAGTGGTATATATATAAAAATGGAAATCACCATTGTTAATTGACAATACGTCGTCGATATTGTTAATTTGATTTCTATTCAAGGACAGTTTATCAGGTTTTACCTCGATTTCAGATAAGAATGGATCGTTTTTCATGTTTGCCACTTACCTATAGTTGGAGAACGTATGTGCTATATTTATACACATTTAGATAAACATGTACATAAATTTAGTTAAAATGTATGTATGTATGCATGTGTATTTGATATCACGATAAAATCTGTACAAGTTACAATAATTATATGATTCTTATCTACACATGTCACCCCGAAATGATCCAAACGCCTCAGTGTTGGACTTGATGAAAGTGAGGTAAGCAAGCACGCACAAGAGCGAGCTCAATAGATTAACATGGAAGAACGGAGGAAATTCGGAATGAAATCTGTACATTCGTCAGGCAAGTTTTCTTGTGCAACATTCCCAGAATTCCTTCTCTACCAGGATTCCATGCGAAATTATTACAAAACATGTAAAAGACCATGGATAATTGTTCCCTTACCAAGAGATACTTTTACTTTTGTTTCTTTGCAGAGAGCTTAAAAGAAACAAAAAATAATTGCATCTACTCTACAACGTATTTCATTAAATCTGTAGTCTTGTTTAACCAGACGCTCAGCTGTCTCCGTAAATTCCGACGTAATGTGACGTCACAGTCAAGACTGTATCTCGTGCGGTTTGATGTTTGAAGAGGCGGATCAACGTTACAAGTGTAAGCTGTGTATAGGCAACTGCGCTCGCCCCAAGGGTCACACCGTAAAACATTAGCTGTATTTCACAAGACCACTCAGCTGAACATTGACAATACACAATGGTCATGTGACAGCTACCTCCAAAATGAAAAAGCGAAGTGTTACTAGTTTTCTTTCCATGGCTACCGCGTAAACTTCGTCAAACCGATTAATATGTTGACGGTGCGACCGTTGGGGCGAGCGCATTGTTCACTTCATTTTAAGATCCGCCTCTTCATTTGGAATGTCTAGACTGTGACGTCACATGACGTCGTATGTTAGCTGCATTTCCATAAACAAAGTTTAAAAAAGTGCAAATATTTTAACAAAGAACGTTTAATCTACTATCTGCATGCAATAGCCATTAATTAAGGTGAGTTTATTTTTTGTGAAATTCAGTTGTTGTCACCGCGTGAACGAAGTTAGCAGCGAGAACAAGAAGCGATGCATTGTGGGTCAGAATTACTGCGGAAAAAAATTCTATTGAATGAATGTGCAGAAGTCCGAATTTTCTCTTCGCCCAGGCGTTGTCGTTAGAGCTCGCAGTGACGAGCGGCGCTCGCTATAATTTTTTGCAGAAACTACTTTGACACGCTGCCATGAACACTCACTATAAGTTTCAAAAAGATTCATTTCACTGAACAGTTATTGAGAAAAATGAAATTAAAAAAAATTGCACACTTCGTATGTTTCCATGGCAACGGTACAATTGGTCATTTTTAGAATTTAAAATGCAGCAAGCACAGCTAGACTTGGTGATTATCATTCCTTTGAAGTTTCCTCAAGATTGACCAAGCCCTCTGCGAGAATATTTGCGATCTAGCAACAACAATACTAATATGTCGCTCCGACATTATGAAAAGGCACATCAAAGAAAAAAGACAGTTTTAAGTTTCACTGAAAGAAAAGAAAACATGAGGCCCATGGGTCACAATGCTCACCCGAATTACCTTAGCCGTGCTGTTTTTGACAGTTAGATATTTAACAAATTTTCCTGTTTATTCCCATGTGAAAATTTGATCCCCATTGTGGCCAAACCCTCGTCCTAAGTAAAATTTAAATCTACACTATATGGAGATGGTTGATAAACGATATGACTAATTGTCACCGTACTGTGTATAAGATATTTAAAGAATTTCTCAGCATACCCCACAGGCACTTCTCTGAGACAAATTTTCCCGTCGACAAGCAGAGTTTTGACGCTGTTTATAGAGATAAAAGGAAATGAAGACAAGCATGCCATGTATGGTTGTGTAGATAAATTATTATAGAGGACAATGATAATTAACAGTTTGCCCGTACATTTTCTTCTGAAAGTGTAAATGACTGTGATTCTGGGCAGGGTGGATACTCCATGTTATTCGAAGTTAGATACCTTTTGTTATTATTATACTATGGGTTAAAAAATTTATTACAGAAACAAGTGCCTGTGGTATATCCGTATGTAAAACAGTGACCCACATTGTAGCCCCACTTAACCCGGGGGGCAATGGCGAAACCAAAGTTGAATTTACCGGGTAAATTTTACCCTATATTGGGATTTTGGTCAATCAAAATGACTAAAGCCCTGCCGTTTTTAATCAGAATTTTTACCAATATATTCCTTTGTCAAGGGTTGGTTCCCTTTTGTGATCCTATCCTAGTCCCACGAAACATAATCTGACATAACTTATGAGATTGATCCCTGTTTCTTTTCTTCACGTTTTTTATTTAACAAACTTAAATCTTCACGGCATGTTTGTGTTTACATACTGACTAGTGATAGTCATTATGTTCATAAGAAAATTTTTTGGAAGATTTTTTTTCTCTACAGATGCATTTTCTATGTTGCCATGAGTAATTTTACACTAAAGTCGTTACAATACATTAAACTCTCTCTCTCTCTCTCCCCCCCCCCTTTGCGACCCCATCTTCGCACAGGAGTCAGAATTTGAACAAACTTTGATATTAGTATACTCTCATCTTAAATTTTATCTCTTCTGCTACATTGGTTCTTTAAATGGTACTACTCTATTTTCACTACATGTATTTCTAAACTATCTTCCCTTTGAAGGGTCGTGAACAAACGTGAATCCCCTTCACATAAGAATGCTGTGGCAATTTTGATAAAAAATTACCGTTGTTCTCCAAAAGTCGAAAATGTAAGAAGTTCACAACAACAGACGATAGTTTGATCAGAAAAATTTCAATTGATTTATTTTTTTAGCTCAGGCAAGCTATAGTAAAATTTCAACAATACAAGTTTTAACTTAATTTTTTTCTTTTTATTTATTTATTTTTTTGTCATGGTTGAGATTTACTTGTAAGAATTGTACCACGTCCTGAGCACCCATTGCCATTTAGATTTAGATATGAGAATTAGTGGTCACATTAATTCCTTTCTCATGCATGGGAAAGAAACACACTCTTCCGCGACTGTCTAAAAATTGAAATGCGATCGTGAGTATTTCCTCAGCTGACAAATAAGTTTGGGCATGCAATTATTTAGCATTTTCCATTGTAATTTTAGTGAAATTTGTTCTAAATCATAGATTTATCATTTTTAATCTCCTTTAACAGCTTTCACCTATACTATATTATACTTGTACAGTACAGTATAATGAAATTGTGGAGATAATATCTTTCTGATATTATTGCCTTTTCGTATCCATCTAATCAAAGTTTATTGAACAATTTACTTAATAATTATTCTAAATATATAAATCATTTTGAATTTATTCTAATAAATGAAGTTTATGCGTCTAAATCGTGTAATAAGTTTAATTTTAATTGTACATGTCATAGATATGTATGTTTTTAAAAAAGAAATTAAATGAATACTCTATATTTCTCAAATACATCTATACTTATGAATCTATAAATTTTGCAAATGAACTCCGAAACCGATGTACCAGAGTTTTTACTTACTCCTCTAAGAATACACTAGATACAATATGATGTCCGTAAACTATATTTAGATTTCACTGGCATTGTAAGTATCGTGCATTAAATTAAAAGTCTACTTTTATTTTCTATAAAAAGCCATGAAATAGCAAAAACATGAGTACGGTGGCGTTTCCGGTTGGCAGATCTAAGTTTCTGGCAATTTTCAATGAAACTGACAACAATCAATCGTTTACTTATTTCATAAAACGTCATAAATGAATTATTCAATCAAAACTTGATTTAAATGACATAAAAGAAATAAGTTGTGATAACCGATTAAAAAGGGAAATGTGCAAATTATTTTTGTCATT